CTCTCTCTCACTCTCACCTCTCTCACCTCTCTCTATACGTCTCTTTGTACATGCACCTGTCTCTTTGTACATGCACCTGTCTCTTTGTACATGCACCTGTCTCTTTGTACATGCACCTGTCTCATTGTACATGCACCTGTCTCATTGTACGCCTCTTTGTGACACGCCTCCTGTGCTTCGTGCAGCGGTGCGTGTGATGCTCCTCGCCGGGATAAAGGAGATGAAGACGGGTCGAGGCGTCTCCATTAACGCCGTCTTCTCTTACATCCGAGCGTCGTACGGCTGCGACTTCCTGAGGAACCGCGGCCACGTGAAGAAGACTCTGACGAAGCTGATCGACGAAGGCCTGGTGGTTCGGGTCAAAGGTCGCGGGCTGGCCGGCTCCTTCAAGCTGGGGAAGAAGTGCAAAGAGAGCGAGAAGACGGCAGCTGCTGCGTCTGTGAGCAGAGAGACATTTAAATATGTTAGACACGTGTCTGTTCATCAGCGTGAATGTGGCTTTAGTCGTTTTAGCTAAATAACCTTTTTATGATATGATTTTCTTTTGCCAGATCTCCAAAGTAACAGAGAGTACGCCGAGGAAAACGTCTCGGAGACGAGCCAAAGATAAAGCTGAGGTCGCTCTGCACAACTTTCTGCTGACGGAGGAGGAGAGAGAGGAGGAAGAGGAGGAGAAGGAGAAGAGAGAGGAGGAGGCACGTCCACGGCTCAGAGCTCAAAGTGCTGGTGAGGACGAGCAAATAAGATAGATACGATAATCCTTTACTGATCAGATCCAGTCTGAGATGCTCCTTGCATCCCAGCAGCTCCATGAGTAACATCCCAGCAGCTCCATGAGTAACATCCCAGCAGCTCCATGTGTAACATCCCAGCAGCTCCGTGTGTAACATCCCAGCAGCTCCGCGTGTAACATCCCAGCAGCTCCGCGTGTAACATCCCAGCAGCTCCGCGTGTAACATCCCAGCAGCTCCGCGTGTAACATCCCAGCAGCTCCGCGTGTAACATCCCAGCAGCTCCGCGTGTAACATCCCAGCAGCTCCGCGTGTAACATCCCAGCAGCTCCATGTGTTTGTAACATCCCACCCAGCATCCGCTCCGCGTGTAACATCCCAGCAGCTCCGTGTGTAACATCCCAGCAGCATCCCAGCAGCTCCATGTGTAACATCCCAGCAGCTACATGAGTAACATCCCAGCAGCTCCGCGTGTAACATCCCAGCAGCTCCGCGTGTAACATCCCAGCAGCTCCGCGTGTAACATCCCAGCAGCTCCGCGTGTAACATCCCAAGAGCTCAGATCCCCAGCAGCTCCGGTTTGTAAATCCCAGCAGCTCCGCGTGTAACATCCCAGCAGCTCCGCGTGTAACATCCCAGCAGCTCCGTGTGTAACATCCCAGCAGCATCCCAGCAGCTACATGAGTAACATCCCAGCAGCTCCGCGTGTAACATCCCAGCAGCTCCGCGTGTAACATCCCAGCAGCTCCGCGTGTAACATCCCAGCAGCTCCGTGTGTAACATCCCAGCAGCTCCGTGTGTAACATCCCAGCAGCTCCGTGTGTAACATCCCAGCAGCTCCGTGTGTAACATCACAGCAGCTCCGTGTGTAACATCACAGCAGCTCCGTGTGTAACATCCCAGCAGCTCCGTGTGTAACATCCCAGCAGCTCCGTGTGTAACATCACAGCAGCTCCGTGTGTAATATATAATATCAGTTCTTTATTTAGATGATAGTTGAGAACACTTCCCCAAGTTACAGAGATAAAGACTTGTGGTTTTGTATTTGGTATATATGTGTGCATATGTATAAATGTGTCTATATAGGTATACACATATTTTATACATATTGTATTTTGTATTCAGGATTGTGGGAAACGGTATTTCGATCTCTGTGTCTGTACACACAAAGACTGACAACACTTTGGTTACAGGGAGACGTGATGAGAGAGAGGAGGAAGCAGACTCTGAGATGAAATGTGAGGATCAGAGCGACTCCAGAACCTCCTCACAGGAAGTGGGAGATCCCCCCCCCCTCCTCCCCTCCCCAGACTCCCGGTTCGAGTGCCTGTGCGGGGGGGAGTCGGGGTTTTATGACGGGAAGCACCTGGTGCAGTGTCTGAGCTGCGATCTGTGGCAACACGCCCTCTGTGTGAACTACCTGGAGGAGAGCAGGAGCTCCAGACCCTTCTACTGCCCGCACTGCCTGGTGGCCGCCCCCCCCCTCTGCTCCGGGGCCACGCTCATCATCTCCCCCAGCTCCATCTGCCACCAGTGGGGCGAGGAGATCCAGAGGCATGTCCATGGCTCAGAGCTCAGAGTGCTGGTGAGGACGAGCAAATACAAGATATATAAGAAGTTTTTTTAAATCTGCAGAAACGTTGCATTGAAACACTTAAAGGGGCTTATTTGAAGCAGCAGTAAGGGGAACCCTCCCCTTCTCAATATCCTCTTTTTCTCTCATGTGCATCTTTTACAATTCTGGAAAAAATTCTAAAAAAGTGAGAATTTGTCAGGAAAAAATCAAATCTAAGAAAAAGTGAAAAATCTAAGAAAAAAGTAATTCATTCATTTCTGGAAAAAGTCTGAAAAAAGGTCTTCAGAGAATTATCAGAATTTTGGTAAATAGTCTGAAAAACCAAGTCAATTCTGAGGAAAGTCAAAATTCCAAGAAAAAAATAATCAGAATTTGGGAAAAGTGAAAAATCTAGGAAAAAAAGTCAGATATGAGAAAAAAGTCAAAATCCTTAGAAAAAGTGAAAAATCTGAGAGAAACCTAAAGTGTTAAAACTGAACACCAAAGGCATTTAATTTGCCTGCAAGTGTGAAACGTCTTTATTGAGAAGTGTTTTAGATCCTCCGTTCCTTCTTTAAAGTTGTTATTAAACACCTGTACCCCCCCTCAGGTGTACCAGGGGGTGAAGAGGCACGGCTTCCTGCAGCCGCGCCTCCTCGCCCAGCAGGACGTCGTCATCACTACGTACGACGTCCTGCGCTCAGAGCTGAACTACGTGGACATCCCGCACAGCAACAGTGAGGACGGGCGGCGCTTCAGGAACAGGAAGCGGTACATGGCCGTGCCCAGCCCCCTGGTGGCCGTGCAGTGGTGGCGCATCTGTCTGGACGAGGCTCAGATGGTGGAGTGTCCCACCGCCAAGGTATACAAACATATATATAACAATATTCATCCATTAGAATGATGTCATCGTTCCTAGAACAAATGAAAAGTGAGAAAAAGTAAGAATTCTGAGAAAAAAAGTCAACACAGGAAAAAGGAAATATGAATACAACTAATATTACAATATTCATCCATAAGCATTACAGAATGTACCCTCCTTTAGGAACCAACTAATCTCACCTTCATATCAAATTTAAAGCATAAACATTTAACGTTTTGGTTGATTTTAAGACGGTTTAAATTTAAATCAGAGCAAAAAAGTCAAAATTCCTAGAAGAAATTAAAAGTAAAAAATCAGAGAAAGAATTCTGAGAAAAATGTAGTCAAATCTATGAAAAGTCAAAATTCTGAGGCAAAAAGTCAAAATATTGTTAGAGAAATGTCAGGATTATGTTAAATACTAAAAATGTATTCATAAGAACATGGGATCATTTTCATTCAACAATAATCAATTACAAAAAAAACTGTTTTCTCTCAGCTCTTCGGTCGTTTTGCCTTCTCTAAAGCAGATGAATCTCTGGATATAACAGCGTGTGTTTTCCCCGTCAGGCTGCAGAGATGGCCCTCCGTCTGTCCTCAGTGAACCGCTGGTGTGTGAGCGGCACGCCTGTGCAGAGAGGACTGGAGGGTAAAGAATCATCATTATTATTACAGTAAAAAATGTAGTAAAAATGAATATATTTTTTAAACACTGTAAATTAGAGATGTGTTATAATAAGCTTAAAAGGTCCCATGTCTCATGGCCATTTCTACTGATCATAGTTCCATTGTTGAGGTCTACTAGAATAGATTTACATTGTTCAATGTTCCAAACTCACATTGGTTTCTCATACAGCATCTCTGTATAGTATGTGTATTCACTCTCTGTCCTACATGGCTTGTTGGAGCTCCTGCCCCCCCCCCCCCCCCCCCCCCCCCCCCCCCCCATGAGCCCATTGTGCTCTGATGAGTCCACCACCGTTACAGCAGAACATCAGTGATTATGTGTTACAATAACTAACCCTTGTTAGCAACCAGAAAATGACACCAGTAATGACAAACAGATGAGAATGCTGCGTGGGGTCTGGGTGCCGTGTTGGGGGGACGTTGCGGGGCTCGCTGCTGTGAGGAGCGGACAGTGTGAGCTGGCTTACTGGTGTCATTTCCTGGTTGCTGCGTGGGGTCTGCGAGACACAGCGAAACCCAGCCCGAAACCAGCCCGAGCACACACACACACCCGCAGCCTGGCTGTGAGTGTTTGTGTGTGTGCTCACACAGACAGCGGATTGGTCCATTTGGGTATGGGCACGTCACTGTACCCAGGAAGAAAAAAATGGAAAAAGAGAAATGTCCAACGAGGCGTTCTGGGGCAGCATAGACAGGTCTTCTCTGTGTTAGAGTTTTACTCGCTACAGGGTGTACTTTGAGGGTTAGTGACTCTACAGACCGTTTACATGCAGAAGCTTCAGAACACAAGGGGACGGGTAAGAACCAGAAAAGCATGACATGGGACCTTTAACATAATGGTTCATATATTATTATAACATGATACAAGTGCACATTTCATTACATAATAATTTTTTAAAAAGTCAATTCTGAGAAAGAAAAAAAAAATTCAGAGAAAAAGTCAAAACTTATGAGAAATAAGTACAAATTACGAGACATTTGAACCAGACCTGTACGGCCTGGTTCTGTTTCTGGGCGTGGATCCTTCGAGAAATGTCAGAATTCTGTTATATACTTACAAAAGTAAAAATTATGACAAAAAGAACACGGAAAAAAGTCAAAATGCTGAGAGATAATAATTTGTTGCTAGAGGCTTTAATAAAGGTGTTCACGTTAAATCCCTGACTCAAAATGTCAAACGAAATCTCTGTGTACCTAAATGTGTCCCTGTGGTTCTGCTCAGACCTGTACGGCCTGGTTCTGTTCCTGGGTGTGGATCCGTTCTGGGTGAAGCACTGGTGGCTGCAGATTCTCTACAGGCCGTTCAGACGAGGAAACACGGCGCCGCTCTACAGAGTCATCGCTCAGATCCTCTGGAGGTCCGCCAAGAAGGACGTCATCGATCAGGTAGAAACAGGAAACATAACAACAGGGTTCTTCTTTATTAGTTATGTTATCACATTCCCCTTTACATCCAATAATACTCCAATTTAGAAAATAAAAAATTAAACAAATGTAAAAATTATGAGAAAAAAGTAAAGATTCTGAGAAAAAGGTAAAAATGTGAGAAAAAGTAAAAATCTGAGAAAAAGGTAAAAATCTGAGAAAAAGGTAAAAATCTGAGAAAAAGGTAAAAATCTGAGAAAAAGGTAAAAATGTGAGAAAAAGGTAAAAATGTGAGAAAAATGTGAGAAAAGGTAAAAAATCTGAGAAAAAGGTAAAAATCTGAGAAAAAGGTAAAAATCTGAGAAAAAGGTAAAAATTTGAGAAAAAGGTAAAAATCTGAGAAAAAGGTAAAAATCTGAGAAAAAGGTAAAAATCTGAGAAAAAGGTAAAAATCTGAGAAAAATGTAAAAATCTGCGAAAAATGTAAAAATCTGAGAAAAAGGTAAAAATCTGAGAAACATTTCAAAATTCAGAGAAACATTTTGACAAATCTATGTGTATCTAAATCTATACCTGTCGTTCTGCTCAGATCTGAACCACTTTATTGGTTATTTTCTCACATTCCCCTTTACATCCAATAGTCCTCCATTTTAGAGGAATTTAGGGTCACAACATGTAGAAGGTCTCAGATCCTCAAGTCAACATGAGAATATGAAAAACTAAATGTATAGAAATCAAATCAATAATAACACTGAGGACGTAAATAGGTATAACACAAATAAAATAAAAGATGGGTTATATATAAGGTCATCCTACATATTAGAATAATACAGTCCAATATACTTAGAACATTAGATCCATTAGAACATTTCAAAAATAAAAATTCCTCATTTTAAAGAAGCCAAATTATATTATTTTCGGGTGTCACACAGTTCCTTTTTTTTTTATAAATTACAGGTTTTTAATTCTGATAACAAGTGTTTTTTAAAAGCTCTCCTATCATGCTATTTTTAGTCACATGTGACCCGCTCTATGGAAATCAGTCGGAAGTCTCAACGACTCATTTCAAAATAAACGTGGATTTGCGTAAAAAAATAGTTCGGGTGTTTTGTTTGATTTTAAATAAACAAAGTCTTGGCTTTCAGAATATGAAACTTTCATTTCCAAAATCACACGATAAATACATTGAAGCTTGTAAAGGGAAGATGACAGCTCGCCTCTCACTCGCACTCTGCTGTTCCACAGCGCCGCTTCCCCTCCCTCCGGCTGACATTATGAATGTAAGGCGTATAGTAATCATAGATAACACGGCAGGGTCCGTTACAGTTTGTTTGTATCTGATTTCAATTAAACAAAGTCTTGGCTTTCAGAATATTAAACTTGTTTCGGCAAATTCAGATGATAAATACAACTTTGAAGCTTGTAGACATAATTACAAGCGGAGAACGGAGTAACGTAACGTCACAGCAGGCATAACAGCAGCCGGTGTTTCTCCTGAGTGTTTTCACCGGGAAACAAACACAATACACACAAACGCAAAAATACACACACACACACACACACACGTATACCCACACACACACACACACACATACACACACACACACACACACACACACACTCGCAAGCTTCCCCCAGACCAGTAATCCAAACGAAAATATCTTCCCTCCGTACTTTTTTTTTTGGATCATTTGCTGATAACCAATCAGATCGGTGGATTCCAGAGAAGAGGAAACTTTGAAGGCCTTTTTCTCAACATGATGACTCGGTGACAGTCATTATATCATGTGACATATTTCGCTTAATATTCGGAGTACAACAACAATCCTGATATCATTAGAAAGCTGGGAATCTCCTCTTTCCAACAGTGTATACAACTCAAAATGTGTCTTCGGGTCAATGCGACTGATTTCGATAGAGCCGGTCACATATATTATTAGTATCAGATATATAAAAACATGTCTATGATGTGTTTTGCTCAAAATACTAAACAGATCATGCATTTTAGAAATCCCTCACATCCCTCTGTTCCAGCTGTTACTAAAGTGCTGATTCTGGATCAGTAGCTTTAAAAAATAAATAAAGGCGAGATCTCATTCAGGAGAAACTCAGCTGAATGCTCTCGTGATTAAACGCCATATTATGTTCCAAAAAACACAAAAGAGGTAACTGGAAAACAACCTCAACATTAATAATGAGACACAAAACGACTACAAACGCATGCAAAGCAACTGCAGAGACATTAGAAATAATAATGCAAAAAAGAGAGAGGGTTTTATTTCCTGACACTTTGTGAGTCTCCTGACACACCGGGGACACATGGTGATGTAGAGAAGACATCACTTTGTGAGTCTCCTGACACACGGGGGACACGTGGTGATGTAGAGAAGACATCACTTTGTGAGTCTCCTGACACACGGGGGACACATGGTGATGTAGAGAAGACATCACTTTGTGAGTCTCCTGACACACGGGGGACACATGGTGATGTAGAGAAGACATCACTTTGTGAGTCTCCTGACACACGGGGGACACGTGGTGATGTAGAGGAGACATCACTTTGTGAGTCTCCTGACACACCGGGGACACATGGTGATGTAGAGAAGACATCACTTTGTGAGTCTCCTGACACACGGGGGACACGTGGTGATGTAGAGAAGACATCACTTTGTGAGTCTCCTGACACACGGGGGACACATGGTGATGTAGAGAAGACATCACTTTGTGAGTCTCCTGACACACGGGGGACACATGGTGATGTAGAGAAGACATCACTTTGTGAGTCTCCTGACACACGGGGGACACGTGGTGATGTAGAGAAGACATCACTTTGTGAGTCTCCTGACACACCGGGGACACATGGTGATGTAGAGAAGACATCACTTTGTGAGTCTCCTGACACACGGGGGACACGTGGTGATGTAGAGAAGACATCACTTTGTGAGTCTCCTGACACACCGGGACACATGGTGATGTAGAGAAGACATCACTTTGTGAGTCTCCTGACACACCGGGACACATGGTGATGTAGAGGAGACATCACTTAGTGAGTCTCCTGACACACCGGGGACACATGGTGATGTAGAGGAGACATCACTTTGTGAGTCTCCTGACACACCGGGGACACATGGTGATGTAGAGGAGACATCACTTTGTGAGTCTCCTGACACACGGGGACACATGGTGATGTAGAGAAGACATCACTTAGTGAGTCTCCTGACACACCGGGGACACATGGTGATGTAGAGGAGACATCACTTTGTGAGTCTCCTGACACACGGGGACACATGGTGATGTAGAGAAGACATCACTTTGTGAGTCTCCTGACACACGGGGGACACGTGGTGATGTAGAGAAGACATCACTTAGTGAGTCTCCTGACACACCGGGGACACATGGTGATGTAGAGAAGACATCACTTAGTGAGTCTCCTGACACACCGGGGACACATGGTGATGTAGAGGAGACATCACTTAGTGAGTCTCCTGACACACGGGGACACATGGTGACGTAGAGAAGACATCACTTAGTGAGTCTCCTGACACACAGGGACACATGGTGATGTAGAGAAGACATCACAAAGAGCATTTTGCATGATAGGAGACCTTTAAATATTGTTTTGAATTTGAAAATTCATACTAAATACATTCTGACTCTAGCAGGTGAAAGTAATAACCTTAATGAACCTTAACTACATCTCTGAACACACTGGCTAAATAAACCATGTGAGGGCAACACATCCACATTAATACGACATATTTCACAAAGAAAGTGCATGTTGCATGATACAGTGGAACAATGCTGCTCCAAAAACAAGTTCAACAATAATGAAAACAAGGTGTTTCCACTTGAAATGAGTCCAAAGATCTGCCAATAGAACAAGAGAACATCAGCTTGGTGAGATGTCTAGAACTAAGAAGGGATATTTAGATAAATCACATCTTGTAATCAGCAGGAGAACTCATTTTGAACTATATTTCACCAGAATCAGGAAATGTTGTGTTACAGAATAATCCTCAAAGGTTTCTGTGTTCTGATGTTAGTTGGTGACTTTCTAATAAATATGTAGAAAAAGATGTGTTTCATCTGAGATACAACTCAAAGTGAGATGTTCTGACTGAACAAGATGATAATAATATTAATATTGGGAGGGATGAAACCCTCTTTAATGGTCACACATGCAGAGCACACAGCACACACAGTGACATGTGTTCTCTGCATTTAACCCATCGTAGTACCAGGAGTCTAGTTCTAGGAGTCTAGTAACAGGAGTCTAGTTCTAGGAGTCTAGTAACAGGAGTCTAGTACCAGGAGTCTAGTACCAGGAGTCTAGTACCAGGAGTCTAGAACCAGGAGTCTAGTACCAGGAGTCTAGAACCAGGAGTCTAGTACCAGGAGTCTAGAACCAGGAGTCTAGTACCAGGAGTCTAGTACCAGGAGTCTAGTACCAGGAGTCTAGAACCAGGAGTCTAGTACCAGGAGTCTAGTACCAGGAGTCTAGTACCAGGAGTCTAGTAACAGGAGTCTAGTTCTAGGAGTCTAGTAACAGGAGTCTAGTAACAGGAGTCTAGTACCAGGAGTCTAGTACCAGGAGTCTAGTACCAGGAGTCTAGTACCAGGAGTCTAGAACCAGGAGTCTAGTACCAGGAGTCTAGTACCAGGAGTCTAGTACCAGGAGTCTAGAACCAGGAGTCTAGTACCAGGAGTCTAGTACCAGGAGTCTAGTACCAGGAGTCTAGCACCAGGAGTCTAGTACCAGGAGTCTAGTACCAGGAGTCTAGAACCAGGAGTCTAGTACCAGGAGTCTAGTACCAGGAGTCTAGTTCTAGGAGTCTAGTACCAGGAGTCTAGTACCAGGAGTCTAGAACCAGGAGTCTAGTACCAGGAGTCTAGTACCAGGAGTCTAGAACCAGGAGTCTAGTACCAGGAGTCTAGTACCAGGAGTCTAGAACCAGGAGTCTAGTACCAGGAGTCTAGTACCAGGAGTCTAGAACCAGGAGTCTAGTACCAGGAGTCTAGTACCAGGAGTCTAGTACCAGGAGTCTAGTACCAGGAGTCTAGTACCAGGAGTCTAGTACCAGGAGTCTAGTACCAGGAGTCTAGTTCTAGGAGTCTAGTAACAGGAGTCTAGTACCAGGAGTCTAGTACCAGGAGTCTAGTACCAGGAGTCTAGTACCAGGAGTCTAGAACCAGGAGTCTAGTACCAGGAGTCTAGTTCTAGGAGTCTAGTACCAGGAGTCTAGTACCAGGAGTCTAGTACCAGGAGTCTAGAACCAGGAGTCTAGTACCAGGAGTCTAGTACCAGGAGTCTAGTACCAGGAGTCTAGTACCAGGAGTCTAGTTCTAGGAGTCTAGTAACAGGAGTCTAGTACCAGGAGTCTAGTACCAGGAGTCTAGTACCAGGAGTCTAGAACCAGGAGTCTAGTACCAGGAGTCTAGAACCAGGAGTCTAGTACCAGGAGTCTAGTTCTAGGAGTCTAGTACCAGGAGTCTAGTACCAGGAGTCTAGTACCAGGAGTCTAGTACCAGGAGTCTAGTACTAGGAGCAGTGGGCAGCTATTGTACAGCGCCCGGGGAGCAAATGGGAGTGGGGGGGGAAGGGGGTTGTCCGGTGCCTTGCTCAAGGGCACCACGGCAGGGCAGGAGGTGAACTGGGACCTCTCCAAGTAGAAGTCCACACTCCATATTTAGGTCTGTTCGGGGACTTGAACCGACGACCCTACGGCTCACAGTCCAAGCCCCTACTGACTGAGACCCTGCCGGACTAAGATGATGCATTGTCTAAAAACAAGAGCCTATGTCTCACTGCAGTGTTACCTCTGAAGTATCATGTCTTCTATCAGAGACATGTTCTATAGACATCAGACACAGATACTGGGCAGGATCTAGAGTAGGAGACCTTTAACTATTTCTCCATGTGCTCTCTACAGATCCAGATCCCCCCCCAGACGGAGGAGGTTCATTGGCTGAACTTCTCCCCGGTGGAGGGTCACTTCTACCACCGGCAGCACGAGGTGTGTTCCCATGATGCACTGCTGCAGCTCAGGAAGGTCTCTGATTGGAGCCTGAAGCTGGGCAGTCTGGACCGGCGCAGCGTTCAGAACATCCTGAACCCGCTGCTGAGGCTGAGGCAGGCGTGCTGCCACCCGCAGGCCGTCAGGGGCGAGTTCCTGCCGCTGCAGAAGAGGTGAGGGGGGGGGGGGGGCACTCAGAGGTATATATAGACATAAATAAGACAAATGAGAGAAATAATGACTACTAAATTACACAAAGATACAAATTTAGACACAAAAGGACCTCAATAATTACACAAAAACAACCACAATGTGACTTATGAGATACAAAACTACTACAACAACATGCAAAGCCACTGCAGAGACAAATCACTGCTTTAAGACGCACACAACAACCCCGAGAAACATCCTAAAAAACTTGAAGATTACGAGAACTAAAACAATCATGCAACATGACGCAATTGCAGAGACCTTATAAATAATAATGCAAAAAGGGAAAACACCACGGACTCGCTTAGACACAAATAAGACCAAGAACGACGACAACAACATGCAAAGCAACTGAGAGTAGAGATGGGTATCGTCTGAAATTTATCGATTCCGATTCCGGTTCTTATCGATTCCCCGTTTCGATTTCAAAATTGTAAAAGAAAGAGGTCAAACGTTTAGATAACAAACATATCTTTATTCTTTTAAGCTTTAACTGACATTCTTACAAATTACCAACCACCAGCAGACTCTGGGATCTGAATGCCCTAGAGGGGCAATAGGAGATGAAAAGATCCTGTAGGTAGGATGGTCCCTGACCATTGAGCGCTTTGTATGTGAGTAAAAGTATTTTAAAATCAATCCTGGACTGAACTGGGAGCTGGTGCAAAGCTGTTCAAACCCGTGCTGCAGCATTTTGTATGAAGGCTCTTTAATGATGAGCTGGGACAGCCTGATGAAAGGGAATTGCAATAATCCAGCCTGGAGGTGATAAAAGCATGGATTAGTGTTTCTGCATTGTTGAGATTTAGGATGTGCCTGATCTTTGCAATATTCCGTAGATGGAAGTAGGCAGTGCTTGAGATTTGCTTTATATGGAATTTAAAAGACAAAACCTCGTCAAAAATAACACCAAGATGTTTCACCGTGGAGCTGGAGGTCCGGGTAACACCATCTGAAGAGATGATGTTGTTGGACAGTTTGTTCCCAAGGTGCTGGGGGCCAAGTATAATGACTTCTGTTTTGTCAGAGTGTAATAATAGAAAGTTGCTGAGATAATAACTTCAGAAATAATAACACAAAAACGACTAAACACTAGACATAAATTAGACTCGATAACTGCTGGAAAACAACCACAACAAGACAAAGAACGACTATAAAAACATGCAAAGCAACTGCAGAGACATAAAAATAACTGCTTATGCGAGAAAAACAACAACAAGGAGACAAAAGAATACAGAAAAGACACGGAGACACAAAACAACCCCAAAAAACATCCTCAATAAACACGAAGACTACAAAGAGAAACAAAACGATCGGGGGAAAAACAAGCGACAAAAACGACTAAATTAGACTCAAAAGGACCTCGATAACTAAAAAACATGGAAAAACAACCACAACACGACTAATAACACACACAACGACTAGAACTACATGCAGACATACAAATGACTGGAAGGGAGAAACACAACAACGAAGAGACACAAGACAAACTAAGACACAAAAAAACACAAAATGACCCGAAAAAACATCCTAAAAAACCACAAAGAGAAACAACACGCTCATGCAACTTTAGAAATACAAAAAACCACTAAACACTAGACATACATTAGACTCAGAAGGACCTCGATAACTGCCAAAACACGGAAAACAACCACAACATGACTCACAAAACGACTATAACAACATGCAAAACAACTGCAGAAAGTGGGAAACAACCAGAAAAAGAACCCAAATTGGATCAAATTAGACAAAAAATGACAACAAAGACTCAAAAGGTGCAAAATAAAGACTCGGAAAAGGAGCAAAACAACCACAGAATACACACAAAGACACACAAAGACACACAAAGACACACAAAGACACACAAAGACACACAGACAGGATTAACACCCATCACTGCTGAGAGGTTTCATCGTGAGGCAGCTGCAGCGCTGATCTGATGGAGAAGGGTCTCACACACCTCTCTGCTCATTGAGTTTATTTAAAGTTCTGTTGGAGGGTGTGTTAAGTGTGTGTGTGTGTGTTGTGTGTGTGTGTGTGTGTGTGTGTGTTGTGTGTGTTGTGTGTGTGTGTGTGTGTGTGTGTGTGTAGCACCATGACGATGGAGGAGTTGCTGAAGTCTCTGCAGAAGAAATGTCGAGTGGAGTGTGAAGAAGCTCACAGACAGCTGGTGTGTGCTCTCAACGGACGAGCAGGCATACACATCATCAGAGGTAACACACACGTTCCCACAACACACACACACACACACACACACACACATCCTTTACTCAGGTAGAAGTACAGATACTCGTGTTTAAAAATACTCTGGTGAAAGTAGAAGTACTGACTAAACTTCTTTTAGTCAAAGTAAAGAAGTGTGGGCTTTGAAACGTCCTTATACAGGGTGCGTACGGGTGCTGGAAATCCTTGAAAATGCTTGAAATTGTACGAGGTGTTTTCAAGGTTTGAAAAGTGCTTGAATTTTGGGAATGGTGCTTGAATTTGGGATAAAGTGCTTGAAATTGTAAATGCTTTACTTCGCTTTTTAGATTAAAAGAAAATAAAGAAGTCGGAGCGCGCTTAATTGCCTCGCTTTTACATAAAACAGCTCCGCTCCGGCCTTCCTGCGCAATGCGCGTGACCGGCAAGTGTTTTTGTTACGTGTGTGACCTGGGCATTCTGATGAAAGTGATAGATGACAGTATGCCAGGAGGTTGCCGTTTCAACGAGCGTTGGCTAGCAGAAGACAAATACAAGCCATGGCTAAGACGAGGGTCAAGCCCAAGAGTAGCCTCCTGCAAAGTGTGCAACAATAACGATGCGAGAGTCTGCGCTGACGAGCCACGCACCACACGAAAGGTACGCCGTAGTAGAGCATTTTAGATTAGGCTATCGTTGCATGTAAAATACATGACACTTTTCTCCGTGCGCGGCAAAACAAGCTCGCCAAAATGGCTTCACTAGTCTGGCAGTATTTTAAGTGCCCGAAAATGACAATAAAATAGCGGTATGCAACGTGTGTGTGAAGCAGAAATCCTGCAGCTCCACCCGCTGTGACGGACCGGTGAGCGGAGCAGAACACACATTAAGAGTTAGACCTAACACACTTAGCTATTTGATCTACCTCTGGAACAAGCTAAACTAGTTATAAATATATTTATTCTTCACTGTCGGGTCGCTCATTACTGGATCAGTGAGCTGCAGGAGATACTGACGGGCTGTCAGGAGAGAGAGAGAGGGGGAGAGAGGAAAAGAGAGCGATATCGGTATCGGCCGATACTGATTCCGGCGATCGGCTCCAAAATTGGCGATCGGAGCATCCCTAATAATTGTATATGATATGTTTTATAATGATTGATCATGAAAGTGTTCTCACAGCTGGTAAAGGTGCAGCTAGTTTGAATGACTTTGTATACTGCAGGGTAGCTTGTGAATTTACTCCAGGTGGAACTAAAGTCTGATTTAACACTTGATTATATTTCACATCATTCATCCACATCTGTAAAGTAACTAAAGGTATTAAATACATGTAGTGGAGTCAAAGTACACCATGTACCTCTGACTTGTGTTTACTGCCAACCTAAAAGTACCTCAAAAATAGTAATCAATAATATATTGAAAAGTTATTTGGCTGATTGTTTTATATTGGCTCAGCCAGGTTATATGGGATGCCCAGTCTACGTACAGATGGGTCACTCATTTTGAAATATTAAACTTAGTTTTCTTTTCTAACATTTTTAATTTTTCATCCTCATGTAGAATGCTATTATGAAACACACATTTGGTTGTTTATAGCATAAAGAACATCTGATTTAATGTGAGGTAGGGAAATAATCATTTGAGTATAAGTATGTGTATATAAATATGTAATTTACAACAGCTGTAAGATGCTTGAAAAGCTTGAAAATGCACCTTGAAAATGCTTGAAAAGTGCTTGAATTTGACTTTGGAAAAGGTGTAAGAACCCTGCTTAGAGAGCAACGTGCAGGTTCGAGCCCCCAGTGAATACATGAGTAGGAAAATGATGTATACACTAGATTTTCAAAAAGATATACATAAATATACACTTGACTTACATGCATTTCCTGGAGACTTATCCTAACCTTAACCATAACCAACACATTACCCTTAACCTTACCCTTACCCTAACCCTAACCCTAACCAAGACTTCACCCTAAAACTAATGACTCCCCTCATGGGGACCTCCATTTTGTCCCCATGAGGGAGGCGAGCCCCCACACGTGACTGTGTAAACAGATTTAGGTTCCCACAAGTATAGTAATGCTAGGACACACACACACACACACACACACACACACACACACTCATCTATATATGTGTGTGTGTGTGTGTGTGTCCTCTCACGCTGCAGGAGAGTATTTGGAGGCCGTGGAGATGTACAGAGAAGTGCTTCGATCCTCAGAGGAACACAAAGGACGCCTGAAGACCGACTCACTGCAGGTACACACACACACACACACACACACACACACACACACACACACACACATCACTCATCCAGCTTCTCTAAAATGTCTTCGTTCGGACTCGTAGAAAGAAAGGGAGGCGTGTGGCTCAGTGGATAGTGCGTTGGTGTTGGGATCAGGGGAGCACAGGTTAACAAGTGACATGTAATGTACTGTAATGTAATGTAAAAAGAAAACTCCAAAATCCACAAAGAGAGAATAAAATATCTGCATAAAGGAAAGAAACACCCCAAAAAATGTAGACACCAACTTTATCTGTTTTTAATCTCAAATAAATCTCCCAAAAGTCTCGAGACGTGGGACATTTAATTTATGAAAGTAAAAGTAGCATTTTAAATCCAAAATAAATAAAAGAATGACTTTCTTTCTCAGAATTTTCTATTTTTTTCTCACAATTTTGCGTTTGTCAAGAATTCTTACTTTTGCAGGATTATGACTTTTTTGCAGAATTTTGACAAATTCTCTAATTTATATTCTTGAATTTTCACTTTTTCTCTGAATTTTCTCGAATTTTCACTTTTTCTGAGAATTTTTTATATTTCTCAGATTTTAACTCAGAATAAAACTAAAATGTTTTCCTTCTGAACATTTCAGAATTTAGCATTTTTTTCAGAAAATGTCAGAAATTCTGACTTTGGGCTCAGAATTCAGAAAATGGAATACGGAGAAAAATCTCAGAATTCTGAAAAATGTACATTTTTATAAATCTTTTTTAAACTGATCACTTTCTGTCTTTCTTCCTTGTTGTGGAAACTCAGAGACTTCATGCGACCCACAACCTGATGGAGCTGCTAAAAGCAAAGCATTCTGGGATACCTCCCACGCTGAGAGACGACCGACTCAGTGACGAGGTAACATTCCTCTTCACATATTCCTCTTTACGGCTGAAATCAACGTGTTCATTTTGGGAATAAACCCTAGAAATCTGTTCCTAATTCTGTACCCATTTATCAATTATCTTTCTAAAGGATTGGCGCCTGCAGTTCCCATTAATCCCTCTTTGATATCTGTTATATTCGACCTGTTTTTATTGACTTCATCATGATTGTTACCTCCTCTCTGTCCTGATGGTAGTTTCTTTCCATAAGCAGTTATTTGCCATATTTTTGTATAATTATCGAGGTCCTTTTGTGTCAAATATAGTCGTTTTTGTGTTTTAGTGTGCTTGTTTTTCCCCTTTTTGCATTATTATTTCTAATGTCTCTGCAATTGCGTTGCATGTTGCATGATCGTGTTGTTTCTCTTTGATATCTGTTGTATTCGACCTGTTTCTATTCCCTTTATCATGATGTTCACCCCCTCTTTCCTTCAGGCAGAGCAGCTGAAACAGCATTATATGACTAAATACGACTCTGAGGTTTCCGACGCTCTGCAGGCGCTGCAGCCGGTCCTGCAGAGCATCAAGGAGCTGAGACGCAAAGTGAGAGATCATTCATATTACAGCTGATCATCTGCTCAGTGTTTATACAGGATAATACATACTATTGGGTTGTTTAGGAGGGACAGGTTTTAGGATGTTTTTAATTGTTTAAGTTTGATTTTAAAACTCTATTAAAGGTCCCATGTCATGCGTTTCTGGTTATTACCCGTCCCCTTGTGTTATGAAGGTTTTTCTGCATGTAAACGCTCTGCAGAGTCACAAACCCTCAAAGTGCACCCTGTAGCTAGTGGAGCCTCGCAGATGGGGGTGCTGCAGCCCCCTCAGCACCCCCCCTTCCCGAGTCCATTCGCGATGTCTCGTTGTCTCGCAGACCCCACGCAGCAACCAGGAAATAACACCAGTAAGCCAGCTCACACTGTCCGCTCCTCGAGCCTCAAAGGGCGGAGCAGCGAGCCCCCCAACGTCCCCCCAACACGGCCCCCAGACCCCACGCAGCATTCTCATCTGTTTGTCATTACTGGTGTCATTTCCTGGTTGCTAACAAACGCCATTGTAACACATAATCACTGATGTTCTGCTGTAACGGTGGTGGACTCATCAGAACAGAGTGGGCGAGCTGACCAATCAGAGCACAGTGGGCTCATAGGGAGGGGGGGGGGGGGGGGTCAGGAGCTCCAACAAGCCGTGTAGGACAGAGAGTGAATACACATACTATACAGAGATGCTGTATGAGAAACCAATGTGAGTTTGGAACATTGAACAATGTGAATCTATTCTAGTAGACCTCAACAATGGGATTATGGTCAGTAGAAATGGCCGTGACATGGGACCTTTAAAGCCACTTGTAACTAAATAAAAACACAGAATTTACGCGCAATTAAAAAAAAATAATAATAATAATTAAATCAATTAACAAATAAATAAAATAAATACATGAAATGTTTTTAAGAAAGAATAAAAAAATAAATATATAAAAATAAATAAATAAAATAAATAAATACATATTTTATTATTTTTAAATGCAACGCGAGACAGGAAAACATCTCTCTTTATCTCATCATTAGTAATAACGCTGTACCTATGGCCGTCTTTTCTCCTCCTCTTGTTACCTGTGCTCCAGGTGAAGCTGAACTCCCCCTGGTGGCTGGAGGTGGTGCAGCGGGCGGTTCGATGCTCCACTGACGACGAGCTGGTTTCTCGTATCAAGAACGATCTGACGTCGAGCTACAAGCAGCAGGCCAGCAAACTCAGCATGGCAGACAAGTACACTGATCAATAATATATATATATAAATACATAGGTATTAGCTAGCCTCACATACTTTGCACCGCCACACACCACAGCAGTGTAAACGTACCTGGGCATAAACCTGACCCTGGATATTAACCCCCGTCCTCCTTCAGGTTCAGGGACGCTGTGGGTCTGCAGCTCCTCCTCACCTCTCAGATTGAGGACCTGACGAAGAGCCAGAAGACGGTTCAGGACGCCGTGAAGAAGCTGGAGGGCCCGGCGTCACGAGAGGTCATCGAGGAGGTCACCCTCTGCCACCTGAGACCCCAGAGACTACCTCTAAACAAGTACTACAGTATAACACACCTTTTATAATCTAAAATACAAAAATAATTACTTTATTCATCCAGCGGGAAATTGGGTTAGTAAACTCAACGTAAACACTACAATTGTGTCAAGAAATAACTCAATAACACAATTTACAATTTACAAACCGATTGACTGAATTGCAGGTTAAGACCATCTGATATATCCTATATAATAATCACATTATTCATCCAGGCTGCTCAACAAGTACTGAAACACCCGTTTATATTAGACACAAGAAATAATCAGTTTATTTATCCCTGAGACTCCCGCTAAAGTACTGCAACACCTTTTACATAAAAACACATTATTCATCCAGGGGGGTTTCATGACTGACTGATCTCTCTCTCTGTATTATAGTTGTGTTTTCTGCAAGGCCGATGTACTCTTCACTGACTACGAGTCCAAGCTGTTTTCACACACGTAAGTAGAGAATCTTTTTTGTTTTTGTATATATATATATTTCTTGTTAAACATTTATTCTAATTCTTACATTTTTTGTTATTATTAATTTATTTGTTCTTGCTTTTTCGAAAATGTATATTTCTTGTTTCTCATTTTATTGACTTTTTAAACATTTATACTTATTTATTGAATTTAGAATATGTGACCTGCTCCATCGAAATCAGTCGCATTGACCTGAAGACACATTTTGAGTTATATTGAGTATACACTGTTGGAAAGAGGAGATTCATAGCTTTCTAATGATATCAGGATTGTTGCTGTACTCCGAATATTAAGCGAAATATGTCACATTATATAATGACTGTCACCGAGTCATCATGTTGAGAAAAAGGCCTTCAAAGTTTCCTCTTCTCTGGAAGCGGAGCAAATGATCAAAGTAGTAACGGAGGGAAGATATTTTCGTTTGGATTACTGGTCTGGGGGAAGCCCGCGAGTGTGTGTGTATACGTGTGTGTTTGTGTATTTTTTAGGGCTGTCAGTCGATTAAAATATTTAATCGCGATTAATCGCAAATTAATCGCACATTTTTTATCTGTTCTAAATGTACCTTAGAGGGATATTTTATATTCACCTCAATTCAACCTGGAACCTCTCTCATACAATAATACTGTGTGTGTGTGTGTGTGTGTGTGTGTGTGTGTGTGTGTGTGTGTGTGTGTGTGTGTGTGTGTGTGTGTGTGTGTGTGTGTGTGTGTGTGTGTGTGTGTGTGTGTGTGTGTGTGTGTGTGTGTGTGTGTGTGTGTGTGTGTGTGTGTGTGTGTGTGTGTGTGTGTGTGTGTGTGTGTGTGTGTGTGTGTGTGTGTGTGTGTGTGTGTGTGTGTGTGTGTGTGTGTGTGTGTGTGTGTGTGTGTGTGTGTGTGTGTGTGTGTGTGTGTGTGTGTGTGTGTGTGTGTGATGGAGCTATGTGCAGCTCAAGGCATATCTGCTCGAATGGGAGCTGCCTGGACGCTGCAATCATGTAGCGCGTACTATCCGTGCTGAGTGTGCTGACTTTTCGTGCAATGTCCCACTGTCTGGCTACCTGCATAAAGTCAAGTGCTCGGCGCAGTTGTCGGCGAAATGTCCTTGAAACAGCTCCTTATATCCGTTAGCGCAGCTAGCTAGCACCAGATGCTAACAACAACACCAACCCGTAAGGTGTGCCTCGCTCGCGCGAGTCGCGCCACACATACACACTCCCTCCCGGTCCTCCCGATGGCCAGTCCGGGCCTGCCAGTGAGCGTGGAAGTGTGGTCTGCCACAAGCGGGCGGCAGGAGCGGGGCTGTCAGCATCAGCTTGTCGATGGTATTTTACACTCGATGCGCTCTGAAACTACGGCGGCCGAGGACAAAAAATACACATGCGTTAATCGCGTTAAAATAATTAGTGGCGTTAATTTTTGTTTGCGTTAACGCGTTATTAACGCGTTAACTTGACAGCTCTAGTATTTTTGCGTTTGTGTGTATTGTGTTTGTTTCCCGGGGAAAACACTCACGAGAAACACCGGCTGTTGTTATGCCTGCTGTGACGTTACGTTACTCCGTTCTCCGCTTGTAATTATGTCTACAAGCTTCAAAGTTGTATTTATCATCTGAATTTGCCGAAACAAGTTTAATATTCTGAAAGCCAAGACTTTGTTTATTTGAAATCAGATGAAAACAAACTGTCACGGACCCTGCCGTGTTATCTATGATTACTATACGCCTTACATTCATAATGTCAGCCGGAGGGAGGGGGGGCGGCGTGCGGAACAGCAGAGCGCGAGTGCGAGCTGTGATCTTCAATGTATTTATCGTGTGATTTTGGAAATGAAAGTTTCATATTCTGAAAGCCAAGACTTTGTTTATTTAACATCAAACAAAACACCCGAACCCCGAAAAACTATTTTTTTACGCAAATCCACGTTTATTTTTAAATGAGTCGTTGAGACTCCCGACTGATTTCCATAGAGCGGGTCACATATTCTCTTAAACAGTTTTATTATAATTCTTTATTTGTTCTTGCTTTTTCGTAAATTAATTTTTCAAATGGTTTTAAAATATTCCCACATTTTTTTGTAAATGTATATATGTCTTGTAAATTATTTATTTTTATTTCATTGGATTTATAATATTCTTAGAAACAGTTTTATTATAATTCTATATTTTTTCTTACTTTTTTGATTATTTAAATTTCTAGTTGAACATTTTTAAATCCCATTTTATTGACTTTAAAAAATGTATTTCTTAATCTTTTAAAAATATTCCGATATTTTAAAATTTTGATTTGTATATTTCTCGTTAAACATTTAGCCTTATTTTATACATTTAAATATATATTTTTAACAGTTTAACAATAGTTTTACATTTGAATTAGATATGTCTTTTATGCATGTACCAAAACTTAGTCCTTGTTTGTGTCAAACTACTTTTTTGATTTATTATTATACATTAATTTAAATTGCATGAAAACTACCCGTGATTTAACGATGATTTCCCCCTCAGGGTGAAGGGTCAGACGGCGATCTTCGAGGAGATGATCGAGGACCAGGAGGGGAGTCTGATGGACGACCGGCTGCCCACCACCAGCAGAGGATTGTGGGCCACCAGCGAGACGGAGAAAAGCCTGAAGGCAATCCTCGCCTTCGCCAAACTGAAGCGCCTCGATAACGATCTGCTGGAGGAAGGAAACACCTTCATGGAGCTGCTCGAGTGCTGGAAGAAGGAGTACAAGGTGAGGGGGCTGACTAGGGATGGGTATCGTTAAGGTTTTAACGGTACTACTACTTTTATCGATACCGCTTATCGGTCCGGTCTTTTAACGGTACTCTTATCGGTTCTTTTGGAGAGAAAAATGAGGTAAACTAACTATATGTTGTTTGTCAGGGACTACGGATGGAAATTAGCTCAAAGCTAAAATCTGGCATATTTACACTTGAAGCATTATTTGTCTAAAGTGTTCATTAATGTGCATTGTCCCTATTCAAATAAACAATTAAATGAAAATTAACAAATTGTGAACAAAACTAACATTGCTTTTTATTTAAATGAAATGCATAATATTTCACATCAACAGAAACAACAACGTTTTAACAAATGGTATTAAATAATGTGATGACAGAACTGTGAACAGAATGGCTGAAACTTTAACAAACTAAATAACTCAGTTCCCTCTAATCATTAACCCATGTTTGTATCATTGAGTTAGCTCTGTGTGTTGCTGCTAGCATACATAATATACCTGACGTGGAAACGTTACTCGTGGATGGGGCTACAGAGCTACTAGAGAGACAGTCGAACCCGGTGCATTTCTCCGTCTGAACGTGGTGCACTTTTGCAAGATGTTTAGACAAATTGCTCGTGTTACCGCCCTGACATGCTAAACTCTTATTGCACTTTAGGCAACGAGCGAGACGGGTAAAGTTTAACCACACCTCGGAGCGCGTTCTCTCCGCCATCTCCTCCGTGTGTGTGTGTTGCTGCATGTAGCAGCTGCGTGTGTGTAAACTGCCCCGCCCCCTCGCACACAGGCGGGGGAGAAAGATCTCTCATCTGGATTGGAGAGATCGAAAATACAAAAAATGACGCATTTTGCAGTCTTTTTGCGTATTAGAAACGGAGTTGGCGACACTAAAACTGCAATATAATGTTTGTGTAGCAATAATACACATGACATATTTTTTAGATGTCTCCCGTACCGATAAAAAGACCGATAACGTCGGAGCTTAACGGTACCACGGTCTTTAATAATTCAGCCCCGGGGCCCGTTTAATACCGGGGCTCGGTACCCATCCCTAGGGCTGATGTTATTATTTTATATTAATTTAATAAGAAACCTGCATAGAAAGAGTACTCTAGTGTATTTATTTTATATTATGAAGCCTGGAAGAAAGAGCTGCTGCACGTCTCCCACTCTGCATTAAAACTAACTTCAACTCTATTTTAGAATAATTCTGAAGCTAGAAAGTGTGTTTGGAAAACCAGAAATATCTCTTAAACATTGTAAGATTGTTTACAAAAAGTCCCTCCTGCATCGTAAATATTACGCATATTTTCCGGTATTGATTAAAGTTACCTGTGTTGGTTTCCTCAGGTGTTGCACGAGGAATCACGTTAATAATACATATATATATATAACAGTGTAATATTAATGAAGTTACCTGTGTGTGTCTCTCAGGTGTTGCACGAGTACTGGATGCTTCTCAGGAATCAATGATATAATAAATATATATATTTATGAGTGTTTATTAAAAATAAAGTTACCTGTGTGCATGGACGCGGGAAGGGGGGGGTGCTGAGGGGGCTGCAGCACCCCCATCTGCAGGGTCCACCAGCACCCGCGCACCTACAGTGTCAGCGCGTCACAGTTTCTCCGCTGCGAGGCTCCACTAGCACCCCCCCCCCCCCCCCCCCCCCCTGTGCGTCACAGTTTTGCCGCTGCTCGACGCTACTAGCACCCCCAACTCTGACTGACTTCCCGCGTCCCTGCCTGTGTGTGTCTCTCAGGTGTTGCACGAGTACTGGATGGTCCTCAGGAATCACGTGTCGGCCATCGATGAACTCGGCATGGCGACGGAAAGACTTCGAGTTCGTCTTCCTGATGAACCCAAACCCAAACTGCTGCACATCATCGAGCCCCACGAGGTGCAGGACATGTTATTATTATTACTATTAATGTTAGTTTATATGGTTTAAAAGCTGTGTCACAAACCTAAACCTGTAAATAATTATTGTAGGTACAACAAAACTGTTAAAGTCGTTTAATTAGGATAAAAAAACATGGATTTTCTCCTAAATTAATTGAGTAAATTTAAAGAAAATAAAGTTTTACTAGAAAATATATATATATATCTTTGAAAAAAAAAATATTTTGCAAAATGTAATATTCACAAGAAAATATTATTTTATATATATTTCCTAATATTATTTAAAAAGTCCTAGAAAACTTCACTATTTTATACTTTTTTAATTTAATTAATGTAATAAACAAGCTGACTCATCAAATCAAACTTTACTGTTTTGAACATTTTGCCACTAAAATAAGCATACGTCTGTTTTGGTCTTAGTTAGTCGATTCCCCGTTAATGATTGATCGTAAAGCCCCCCCCCCCCTCTGACCCGGTTTTAGACGCCTTGTTATCTGAATATCCTCAGAGATGCATTATTTTACCTGAAGTGTCTGTACCCCTCAGGTGGATCAGAACCAGCAGAAGCTTCTGAACGACCAGGCGCTCGCTAAGTCTCAGCTACAGAAGAAGCTGGGCCAGGTGCTCTACCTCAACAACCTGGAGAAGGTGATCACAAACACACCTAATCTATAACCTGGAGAAGGTGATCACAAACACACCTAATCTATAACCTGGAGAAGGTGATCACAAACACACCTAATCTATAACCTGGAGAAGGTGATCACAAACACACCTAATCTATAACCTGGAGAAGGTGATCACAAACACACCTAATCTATAACCTGGAGAAGGTGATCACAAACACACCTAATCTATAACCTGGAGAAGGTGATCACAAACACACCTAATCTATAACCTGGAGAAGGTGATCACAAACACACCTAATCTATAACCTGGAGAAGGTGATCACAAACACACCTAATCTATAATTTATATCAATATTAACTCAATAATCCCCCTTTCTGTTGCAGTCGCAGGACAAATCCAACAAAGAGCTGAACCCCGAGCCGTGTCCCATCTGTGCCCGGCCCCTGGGACAGGAGGTGAGAGACCCCTTAGGATAAAGAGAACACTCTCTCTCTCTCTCTCTCTCTCTCTCCAGTGGTGCTCACCTCTAGAGAAGTGCTCTATAAATAACATGCATTATTATTATATTTCCCTCTCTCTCTCTCTCTCTCTCTCTCGTCTATATCTCTCTCTCTCCTCTCTCTCTCTCCTCTCTCTCTACTCTCTCTCTCTCGCTCTCTCTCTCTCTCTCGCTCTCTCTCTCTCTCCTCTCTCTCTCTCTCTCTCTCTCTCTCTCTCCCTCCAGTGGGCGGTGCTCACCTGCGGACACTGCTTCTGTAACGAGTGTATCTCCATCATGGTGGAGCAGTACAGCGTGGGCTCCAGACGCAGAGCCATCAGATGTGCAGTCTGCAGACAGATCACCTCCCACGCCGAGATCTCATACGTGTTCACCACCCAGGCCTCAGGAGAGGACCAGGACATACCTGTACAGGTAGAGGAGGCTCCGGGGACACACAAAGAGACACAGAGGACTACAAAGAGACACAAAATGACTACAAAGAGACACCAAATGACTACAAAGAGACACTAAATGACTACAAAGACGACCTGACGACTTGCAATTTACATCCCTGTCTGTCCACCAAACTCTAAACAGTTCACGCTCAGTCATCGCCAGCATGGATGAATACAAGTGTGTGTCTCGCTCTGCTCTCACATGTTTCCTCTCTCTGTTCTTCAGGGCAGCCACTCGACCAAAGTGGAGGCCGTGGTCCGGACCCTGAAGAAGATCCAGCTGATCGACCCGGGGGCCAAGTGTCTGGTGTTCTCCACGGTAATGTGTGTGTGTGTGTGTGTGTGTGTGTGTGTGTGTGTGTGTGTGTGTGTGTGTGTGTGTGTGTGTGTGTGTGTGTGTGTGTGTGTGTGTGTTGTGTGTGTGTGTGTGTGTGTGTGTGTGTGTGTGTGTGTGTGTGTGTGTGTGTGTGTGTGTGTGTGTGTGTGTGTGTGTGTGTGTGTGGGTGTGTGTGTGTGTGTGTGGTGTGTGTGTGTGTGTGTGTGTGTGTGTGTGTGTGTGTGTGTGTGTGTGTGTGTGTGTGTGTGTGTGTGTGTGTGTGTGTGTGTGTGTGTGTGTGTGTGTGTGTGTGTGTGACCCCCCCCTCTCTTTCTCTCTCTTTTAAAGAAATGGGAAGCCTAGATGATTTCATTGAGAGATGGTACTTTTAAGACTTTTTAAATCTCTCTCTCTCGCTCTCTCTCTCTCTCAGTGGCTCAGTGTGTTGGACATCATCTCTAAGGCTCTGTTCGACAACAACATGGAGTTCTCTCAGATCAACGGCATCCACAAGTTCCAGGTCTATACATTATAAATATGCTAAACACACACACTGTCTATTCCCTGCATCCACTACTCCAGGTTGGGTTTACCACTTATACAAAACGTATTTAAGGAAATGTTCACATATTTACTTCTGAGTAGGCCGGACAGGTTTTCTCCAAAGCAATACTTTTGGGGGATAAACATTGAATATGTTGATCAGATTCCTTCTGGATTAAAACCATAATCATTTGTTTTATTTATGTGAATCTAAATCTGCAAAGTAATTAGCTTCCAAAGACCAGTGGAGTAAAACGAAAAAGCTTCGAAAAAAGGAAATATTTAGGTACGAGTTCCTACATGCAGACTGGCTTTTTTTAAACGTATTCAAGGCTAAAACCACTTGCTAACTTGTGCACAATGACTACAAAGAGACACAAAAGGACTTCAAAGAGACACTAAAGGACTACAAAGAGACACAAAAGGACTACAAAGAGACACAAAAGGACTACAAAGAGACACAAAAGGACTACAAAGAGACACTAAAGGACTACAAAGAGACACTAAAGGACTACAAAGAGACACAAAAGGACTACAAAGAGACACAAAAGGACTACAAAGAGACACTAAAGGACTACAAAGAGACACAAAAGGACTACAAAGAGACACTAAAGGACTACAAAGAGACACAAAAGGACTACAAAGAGACACAAAAGGACTACAAAGAGACACTAAAGGACTACAAAGAGACACAAAAGGACTACAAAGAGACACTAAAGGACTACAAAGAGACACAAAAGGACTACAAAGAGACACAAAAGGACTACAAAGAGACACAAAAGGACTACAAAGAGACACAAAAGGACTACAAAGAGACACTAAAGGACTACAAAGAGACACTAAAGGACTACAAAGAGACACTAAAGAACTACAAAGAGACACAAAAGGACTACAAAGAGACACTAAAGGACTACAAAGAGACACTAAAGGACTACAAAGAGACACAAAAGGACTACAAAGAGACACAAAAGGACTTCAAAGAGACACAAAAGGACTACAAAGAGACACAAAAGGACTTCAAAGAGACACTAAAGGACTACAAAGAGACACTAAAGGACTACAAAGAGACACAAAATGACTACGAAGAAACACAAAAGGACTACAAAGAGACACTAAAGGACTACAAAGAGACACAAAAGGACTTCAAAGAGACACTAAAGGACTACAAAGAGACACTAAAGGACTACAAAGAGACACAAAATGACTACGAAGAAACACAAAAGGACTACAAAGAGACACTAAAGGACTACAAAGAGACACTAAAGGACTACAAAGAGACACTAAAGGACTACAAAGAGACACAAAAGGACTACAAAGAGACACAAAAGGACTACAAAGAGACACAAAAGGACTACAAAGAGACACAAAAGGACTACAAAGAGACACAAAAGGACTACAAAGAGACACAAAAGGACTACAAAGAGACACTAAAGGACTACAGAGAGACACAAAAGGACTTCAAAGAGACACAAAAGGACTTCAAAGAGACACTAAAGGACTACAAAGAGACACTAAAGGACTACAAAGAGACACAAAATGACTACGAAGAAACACAAAAGGACTACAAAGAGACACTAAAGGACTACAAAGAGACACTAAAGGACTACAAAGAGACACTAAAGGACTACAAAGAGACACTAAAGGACTACAAAGAGACACTAAAGGACTACAGAGAGACACTAAAGGACTACAGAGAGACACAAAAGGACTACAAAGAGACACTAAAGGACTACAAAGAGACACAAAAGGACTACGAAGAAACACAAAAGGACTACAAAGAGACACAAAAGGACTACAAAGAGAGAACAAACAACCAAAAAAAGACAAGGAAATAAAGAGAATACAAAAACTGATTCTGCACATGGCTGAAATCCCGTTTATAACGTGTGCATTGACTCTCATTCTGCAGGACAATCTGTGCTCCTTTAAATACGAGGAGCAGATCAACATCCTGCTGCTGCCTCTGCACACCGGCTCTAACGGTCTGAACATCATCGAGGCGACCCACGTTCTGCTGGTGGAGCCGATCCTCAACCCGGCCCACGAGCTGCAGGCCATCGGGAGGGTGCACCGCATCGGGCAGACCAAGTGAGTGCAGAAGGGAAAATATATAGGAGCAGGAGCTCTTCAGGAAGTTTAGACCCTCATCTGGTGTGAGCATGTTGGGTAGGAGTCTAGACCCTCATCTGGTGTGAGCATGTTGGGTAGGAGTCTAGACCCTCATCTGGTGTGAGCATGTTGGGTAGGAGTCTAGACGCTCATCTGGTGTGAGCATGTTGGGTAGGAGTCCAGACCCTCATCTGGTGTGAGCATGTTGGGTAGGAGTCCAGACCCTCATCTGGTGTGAGCATGTTGGGTAGGAGTCTAGACGCTCATCTGGTGTGAGCATGTTGGGTAGGAGTCCAGACCCTCATCTGGTGTGAGCATGTTGGGTAGGAGTCTAGACCCTCATCTGGTGTGAGCATGTTGGGTAGGAGTCCAGACCCTCATCTGGTGTGAGCATGTTGGGTAGGAGTCCAGACCCTCATCTGGTGTGAGCATGTTGGGTAGGAGTCTAGACCCTCATCTGGTGTGAGCATGTTGGGTAGGAGTCTAGACCCTCATCTGGTGTGAGCATGTTGGGTAGGAGTCTAGACCCTCATCTGGTGTGAGCATGTTGGGTAGGAGTTTAGACCCTCATCTGGTGTGAGCATGTTGGGTAGGAGTCTAGACCCTCATCTGGTGTGAGCATGTTGGTAGGAGTCCAGACCCTCATCTGGTGTGAGCATGTTGGGTAGGAGTCCAGACCCTCATCTGGTGTGAGCATGTGGGTAGGAGTCTAGACCCTCATCTGGTGTGAGCATGTTGGGTAGGAGTCCAGACCCTCATCTGGTGTGAGCATGTTGGGTAGGAGTCCAGACCCTCATCTGGTGTGAGCATGTTGGGTAGGAGTCCAGACCCTCATCTGGTGTGAGCATGTTGGGTAGGAGTCCAGACCCTCATCTGGTGTGAGCATGTTGGGTAGGAGTCCAGACCCTCATCTGGTGTGAGCATGTTGGGTAGGAGTCCCTCATCTGGTGTGAGCATGTTGGGTAGGAGTCCAGACCCTCATCTGGTGTGAGCATGTTGGGTAGGAGTCCAGATGTGTGATTGAAGCTGTTGTTTTCTGTCCATCAGGCCGACGTTTGTCCACAGATTCCTCATTAAATCCACCATTGAAGAGAGGATGCAGGCGATGATGAAGACAGCAGAGAAAAGGTGAATAAAGTTACAAAATAAAGTCAATTATTAACTTACTGTGACCTCATTATTATCACACTAGCTTCTCCTCACATGGGCTAACCAAAGACTTTATTTATACCGAAGGAAACTCTTGCAACCCAGTCTCACGGCATTTCGTGTAATAGTCACAAAATAAATTCCAATTTTTTTCGTGTCACAGAACGATTTTAAAAGCAATGTATTTCTATTGGTAGTATGTTTCGTGCCTGCAACACATCTTTTTGTCCGGTCGGGTCTTGGAAGACCGGAAGCTGTGTGGTTCATAAAAACATTGTCTTACTCAATATCAAGCCACGATTATTGTTTTTATTTTAAATTGTATAATGTCTGACTTTTTTTGCCGTCCGTGAGGAAAAGAAATGGCTCAGAGCCTCAGGATACTGACATCTGTATTTTTGTAATCTTTCTAATTTGTTATTATTTGGTGCAGGCCCGAAACATACTACCAATATAAATACATTGCTTCTAAAATCGTTCTGTGTGACACGAAAAAAATGGGGAAATCATGTTGGTGAACACGAATCAATAGATTAATTTCGCGACTATAACACAAAATGCAGTGAGACTGGGTTGACTCTTGTGCCAGAGTTACAGAAGTTTACAGTAAACATACTAATAATACTAACAGTCAGGGGCGGACTGGGACTAAAAATCAGCCCGGGCATCTCGACCGGCCCACTTCGGTACCACTAGTAAATTGTCAACGGGGGGGTGCTAGTGACTTATCCGACCGGCCCACATCGTCCGGCCGGCCCACTTCGGTACCGGCCCCTCGGGATTCGTCCCGAATTTGCACTGCTAACAGTGCAAATTAAACTACAAACTAGCTTCTCAACATGGCTAACAACAGACTAGCTAACAATAGATAAGCATCTCCTAACCATAGCTAACAACAGACTAGCTAACAACAGACTAGCTAACAACAGACTAGCTAACAACAGACTAGCCTCTACTAACAACAGACTAGCTAACAATAGATAAGCATCTCCTAACCATAGCTAACAACAGACTAGCTAACAACAGACTAGCTAACAACAGACTAGCCTCTACTAACAACAGACTAGCCTCTACTAACGATAGTAAAAACAGACTAGCTTATTTTTACTGTAGGTAATAACAGACTAGCTAACAACAGACTAGCTAACAACAGACTAGCTAACAACAGACTAGCTAAAAAACAGACAGGCTAACAACAGACTTGCTAAAAAACAGACTAGCTAACAACAGACTTGCTAAAAAAAAGACTAGCTAACAACAGACTGGCTAACAACAGACTAGCTAAAAAACAGACTAGCTAAAAAACAGACTAGCCTCTCCTCACAACAGCTTTTTAAACTTAAAATAAGCTTTAGGAAGCATCGGTTTCTGAGGACTTTGTAGAATCAACAGCCATTGGTTTAGAGGCTTGTTGACTTTAAAGGGTTGCAGGTGATGAATTAAAGAACTGATCAAATCTTCCTCTCTTTTTAATCCAGTCACACCACCACCATGAAGCACTCGGAGGCCGCCGTGCTGACGGTGGCCGACCTGGCTGATCTGTTCACTGAAGAACATCTGGAGTCCATGTGAACACCTGGACACACACACACACACACCTGCAGAAGACACACACATACACACACACCTACAGAAGATACACACACACCTGCAGAAGACACACACACTCTTCACACAGTGCTGCTGATAGAAAACTCTGATTTTGCACATTTGAACTTTTTTTATAGAAACTTACATTCCCAAAAGGACATTTTATCAGGTGACGGACAGCAGGCTGCAACACGTCTGGTATTGTATTTTAAATTCTGAATGCCTTTTCTCACTTTTTGTCATCAATTACTACGTCTGCTGTTTGTTCGATGGTCACATTTTGACTACATTGTGTACAGGAATGTTGCTTGTTTTAGTCTTTTATGAAATATTTGGATTTATACACAGGGGTTGAAACTAAATGTAAGTTTAAATATCGATTAATTGGCTGATTATTTTCTAGATTTGGTTTTTAAAATGTGGTAAAAGAGTGTAAATGTCCATCCTTGTTTTTTAAAGTCCACGGTAATGTTGTTACATGTGTTTTTTAGTTCAATCCAAAAGATATTCACTTTAAAATGGTAGAAAACGAGGAAAATCTCAATTTCTGACATTTGTGTATGTAAAACGGACTTTCTGTGGCAGCTCTATCATGTACAAACCTCTCAATGTAGAAAACAGAGGATTGAGATCTCCTCCGAGCATTCAGGAATAAACACAATGATGTTGTTCCGACAGCTGTTTTTGTCCCGTGCTTTTATTGGGTTTTATTTCAGGAAGGAAGCCATTGACTTTTTACTCCCGTCTGTCCAAAAACAATGCCAACACAATCCAGCCCACGCCGTCTGATTTACACGACAAAACAGCTCCAGATCCAGCGTCTTGGTAAATGATCTTGTAAATCCAGCGTATAAAAGTCACAGTTTTAATTTATATTCCCACGTACAGAGTGCCTGGATGAGGCTTTTGGACACGTGGCTGTTCTGGGACGTTCTCTGTGTTTGAATGGGATTAAATCATGTGTTTTTTCGTGGTGTTTAAAGTGTTTTACGGCCCCCCGCTCCTCACACTCGCGGCTCTTTGCCCTTGACTCGTAATGACTCTCCTCTGGACGATTCCCGCTCCAGTAAAGATTTTAAAGTGTGCAGAACAAAGGCCGCAGACGACAAAGAGAGCTGTTGATGCTCTGCATGGTTACCAGACGCAGAGAGGGTCACTTTACACATGTAAGCCATTACAATCACTAAAGACAAGTAACTAAGTACATTTACTCAAGTACTGAACTGAAATACAAGTTTGAGGTACTTTAGTGAGTATTACCATGTCATGCTACTGTGTACTTCTACTCCACTGTAGTTCAGAGGTACATGGTGTACATATACTCCACTACATGTATTTAATACCTTTAGTTACTTCACAGATGTGGATGAATGATGTGAAATATAATCAAGTGTTAAATCAGACTTTAGTTCCACCTGGAGTAAATCCACAAGCTACCCTGCAGTATACAAAGTCATTCAAACTAGCTGCACCTTTACCAGCTTTGAGAACACTTTCATGATCAATCATTATAAAACATATCATATATATTATTCTGAAATGGACCAATCTGCACAATGACTACTTTTACTGTCGCTACTTTCACTATATTTTGATGAGAATACTTTTCTACTTTCACTTGAGGAACATTTTGAATGCAGGACTTTTACTGTAACAGAGTATTCCTACACTCTGGTACTTCTACTTTTACTCAAGTACAAGATCTGAGTACTTCTACTTTTACTCAAGTACAAGATCTGAATACTTCTACTTTTACTCAAGTTCAAGATCTGAGTACTTCTACTTTAACTCAAGATCTGGATACTTCTACTTTTACTCAAGTTCAAGATCTGAGTACTTCTACTTTTACTAAAGTACAAGATCCGAGTACTTCTACTTTAACTCAAGATCTGGATACTTCTACTTTTACACAAGTACAATATTTGAGTACTTCTACATTTACTCAAGATCTGGATACTTCCACGTTTACACAAGTACAAGATCTGAGTACTTCTACTTTTACACAAGTACAAGATCTGAGTACTTCTACTTTTACACAAGTACAAGATCTGAGTACTTCTACTTTTACACAAGTACAAGATCTGAGTACTTCTACTTTTACACAAGTACAAGATCTGAGTACTTCTACTTTTACACAAGTACAAGATCTGAGTACTTCTACTTTTACTCAAATACAAGACCGGAGTACTCCAGACTGTAAAGGACTACAGTTTTTTGTCGTGCCCTGATGATGTAATCCCAGTACTTGTAATCCATTACTCCCTGCTCCTCCTTGTTTCCTGGACTCCCCTCTGTTCACGCAGGAATCTCATTGTGAGAGGAGCATCACTCAGGCTGGTGTTTTAGAGGAGGGTCCGCTCCTTTAGAGGACAGATCTACTGCTGACAGGAGGAGACCCTGGAGACCCTCAGATTCTCAGAGGAGTTACAGAGGAGACACAGAGAGTTAGAGAAGATGGCAGCGAGCCGCTTGGTGTTTTTCTGGATCCTGATCGTCCTGAGGACAGCAGCTGGGTTTCTGCAGGAGGAAGAGGAGGGTGAGGGGTCAGGGGTCACAGAAACAGGTATTTAAAGAATCACTAGTCATGTTTTCATCAACAACAAAAAATGTTGGAGAGAAAAGTCAGAATTCTGACTTTAATCTCAGAACAAAAGAAAAACGTGATGCAGGTTTTTAAAGAGTCTTCATCAGAGAAAGGAACGTTGGATTAGAGGATCCTCAGAATCTGCTTTGATTATTGAACAGTCATTTTCTAAGGTGATATTTTTGCTGGAAAATACTGAGGAAGTACATATTGAATGCAAAAAGGTTTTAATTGATGCATCATCCCTCATCAGCCAACTATCAGCGGATCATCAGAAGAAATATGAAATCATAGTTCAAGTTTCTCTCTAATCTTGAGGTCTGCTGCTTTACGCTGTTTTATATTCAAGTGGATATCTCTGGACCTGAGAGAAACATCTGTCAAGACTTCCTGACATTTTATAAACCATTCATCTATAATACAAATCATCTTGAGTTGCCGCTCTGTATTTCAGATGATACTTGGTCTAACTGGGATTCTCTGGATCTGAAATGTGATTTTAAAAAAGGCCTCATTTAGTGCTTCAAGTCCAGTGAAGAACTACTAAGTTAAGGATTTAGTCATCTTTATAATGCATCACAAGAAGTCTTATTTTAAAAAGTAAATGTAGTTACCAGGTAGATTTAGTAAAGTCAATTTAGAAATATGTTCCTTTGAGATTTAGAGTAGAAGTGCTGCAGTAGTTCTACGTGTTTTTAATCCCTGACATGTAGTTATTGGTCCGTCAGGTCTCAAAGACAACCAGAGGTGGAAGTAGTGGAGTACAAATACTTTGTTATTGTACTTAAGTACATGTTTCTGGTATCAGTACTTTACTCCACTACTTATTTTTCTGACCACTTTTTACTTTGACTTCTTACATTTTGAACACAAATACCTGTACTTTCTACTTCTCACATGTTGAACACAAATACCTGTACTTTCTACTTCTTACATTTTGAACACAAATACCTGTACTTTCTACTTCTTACACTTTGAACACAAATACCTGTACTTTCTACTTCTTACATTTTGAACACAAATACCTGTACTTTCTACTTCTTACATGTTGAACACAAATACCTGTACTTTCTACTTCTTACATTTTGAACACAAATACCTGTACTTTCTACTTCTTACATTTTGAAAAACAAATACCTGTACTTTCTACTTCTTACATTTTGAACACAAATACCTGTACTTTCTACTTCTTACATGTTGAACACAAATACCTGTACTTTCTACTTCTTACACTTTGAACACAAATACCTGTACTTTCTACTTCTTACATTTTGAACACAAATACCTGTACTTTCTACTTCTTACATTTTGAACACAAATACCTGTACTTTCTACTTCTTACATGTTGAACACAAATACCTGTACTTTCTACTTCTCACATGTTGAACACAAATACCTGTACTTTCTACTTCTTACATTTTGAACACAAATACCTGTACTTTCTACTTCTTACACTTTGAACACAAATACCTGTACTTTCTACTTCTTACATTTTGAACACAAATACCTGTACTTTCTACTTCTCACATGTTGAACACAAATACCTGTACTTTCTACTTCTTACATGTTGAACCCAAATACCTGTACTTTCTACTTCTTACATGTTGAACACAAATACCTGTACTTTCTACTTCTTACATGTTGAACACAAATACCTGTACTTTCTACTTCTCACATTTTGAACACAAATACCTGTACTTTCTACTTCTTACATGTTGAACACAAATACCTGAACTTTCTACTTCTTACATGTTGAACACAAATACCTGTACTTTCTACTTCTCACATGTTGAACACAAATACCTGTACTTTCTACTTCTCACATGTTGAACCCAAATACCTGTACTTTCTACTTCTTACATGTTGAACCCAAATACCTGTACTTTCTACTTCTCACATTTTGAACACAAATACCTGTACTTTCTACTTCTTACACTTTGAACACAAATACCTGTACTTTCTACTTCTTACATGTTAAACACAAATACCTGTACTTTCTACTTCTCACATTTCCCAAACAGGCTGGTTCCTTTAGTTTGAATGTGTGTTTGGTGGCGTGATCATTATTATTTAGAGTCATTGCGTGCCTATTGATTTGAACACGATCCGTGTATCCATCATTTCCTGGTCTTCTCTAAAGAAGAGGGACCAATGAAAACGTTGTCATGTTGCCGTTGTTCAGCATGGAAACATTCATTAGCTAACAATGACATTATTGTTCTATTAATATAAAGGGAGGTCAGGTACTCTTTAAAACAGCTGCTAGTTATGGGTACTTTTTACTGAAGTACATTTCAAAGCCTCTTTACTTTGACTTGAGTAAAGAAGTTTAGTCAGTACTTCTACTTTTACCAGAGTATTTTTAAACACGAGTATCTGTACTTCTACTTGAGTAAAGGATGTGTGTACTTTTGCCATCTCTGCAGAGAGTCCTGATATTGTACACAGAGTGAATATATATATATGATTGATCCGTGTTCCTCCTGTCTGATCAGATCTGAATGAGACGGTGCTCTGCTCCAACAACCTGATGAAGGTGGTGATTCCCAGCATCTTCTTCCTCAGAAAAGACCCGCCCGTTTTCGTAAGAGAGACCCTCGTAAACTCTGAAGTATCTCTGAAGTATTCTCCTCAACAGCAGCTTCCCTTTTGCTCAATAATGTCTTTCCCTGTGAGTTCAGGTCGGGGATTTGCATCTGAACGATCCAGAGTGCCGCGGCGTTGAGGTCGGAGAGGATTATGTTTTCAGCATCAAGACCAATCTGTCCGACTGCGGGACCCTGACGGTACCTCCTCAATACCTACCCTAACATATGTCATATATCATATTAAAGTGCATTACAGTCTTATATTGCTTCCTACATGAGGCCATGTCTGCAGGATCTGCCAAACTACGAATTCATATTAAATAAATAACATAAGCAACTAAATAAATTACATTTAATTGGACATCCAAATACAATGAACTTTGTCTTAATTGGATTATGTGACGATTGCTCCTTTTAAGATTGAAATAAATACAAAGATAGAACATTGAAAATAAAATAATAAAATATGTACGTATACAAAGGTTAAAGTAACATCTCCAATAAAGACAAAATAACATTTGAAACATGAAGTAAAAATAAAATGTCAAATAAAAGAGAATTTTTTTTTTATATATAAATAAATAAATAAAGATTGAGATATAAAATAAGAATGTGCAATAAATATAATTAAGAGCATTATAAAGATAATATTAAATACAAATAAAGATATTAATATATAAACTCCTGAATGTGGAGAAGACACCTTATAGAAAATTAAGTTTATTCTAAATCAATGTTTCCTGCTGTAAGGATGGCACCGCCTTCAATATTTACCTCCATATATTAAATAGTAAATGTTTTTTAAGTCTAACATAACTTCTTAAATTAGGAGCTGCTAAATTACAGCTTAAAATTAAAGGTCTCCTATCATGCAAAAGTCACTTTCTGATGTCTTCTCTTCATCAACATGTGTCCCCGGTGTGTCAGGGAACTCACGCAGCGTCAGGAAATAAAACCCTCTCTCTCTTCCTCCGTACCCAAATCTCTAAAAACGGGGGAACAACGGAGCTGATCCAGATTTGCGTCCGATATGACGTAATATCTGAAATGTGGACCCACGGCCCTATCAGAGACGTTGCTATCAGAAACAATGCCCGACTGTTTTGGACGTAATATGGTCGGTGTTTACATTAGCATCGCTAACACTCAGAGCTAACCTGTACTGGAGAGCATGTGTGTGAAGAAGCAGGAAATAAAAAGGAACTCACCTTGTGGTATAACCGGCAAGAGAGAAAGCCTTTGAGCTCCATACTGTTTCAGAGATAATCCTTGATAATCCATGATATGGCGTTTCATCACGGCAGTATTTAGTTTAGACAGTAGCTGCCGGGTCCCCCATGAGCTCAGACCCCTCCTTTTTATTTGTTAAAGCTTTATACCCCAAATCAGCACTTTAGAAACAGGAAGTGAAATAGAGGGATATGAGGCATGGCTAGAATGGGTGGTCTGTTTGGTATTTTGAGCAAAACACTTCATAGACATGTTTTTTATATATTTGTATATATCTGAGACCTATGCTGTTGCCTGAACATAGCATGATAGGTGACCTTTAAATCAATGCTCCCTGGTGTAGAGGCTCCTTTAATGCGTCTCGTTGAATTACCCTGTAATGAATCCAGATGAGCTTGTGAGCCGGATGTTTGGAAGAACTTTAACAAACCGCTCTTCACACAGCGGCTCCTCATCTTCATTAATTCATCTTAACGAGGTCTTCGGTCTCTGAGGGAACAGATCCACTCTGCAGGATGTATCCCCTTTAGAGAGGAGGGGGTTCCTCTCTGACGCTGTCCACTTGTGACAAAATACTCTAACTATGAAATATTAAAACAAGGCATAAAATTGCCAGAAATGAAACAGAACGACCGATAATGACCTAAACCACATGTGTCAAACTTAAGGCCCGGGGGCCAAATCAGGCCCGTGGTGGATTTAATTTCGGCCCGCTGGATAATTTCTAATTACTATTAGATCTGGCCCTCCGGTATATTGCACGCACACCTTCACTCCATCCTGAGGGTCTCCTCAGCTCAGAGCCTGAGCCCAAACATTGATGACCTTGCACCCAAGATGAGATGCCAAGTATCTGAGCTAGCATCACAGAGCAGCACACTGAGTTTACATGGATGTTTCCTTCTGCACTTTCTCTCTCACGACAACAGAGCATGTTTGGTTTTCTCTTTGAGGGAAATAGTTTTCTTGAAGCTGTTGTTGGCCTGTGGAGAAATGTACTCATAAGAAATGACTCTGGAGAAGATGCAGATGGAGCCATAAGAAATGAATGCAACTGATTATTTAATGTTTCATGTTGTTTTTATAGGCAATCATTTAAGCTTTGTTAGTTCCAGGTTTAATATGTGCAATAAGTTCATTTCAATAAGTTCTGCAATAAACATTGAACCAGTCCGGCCCTCGACTAGTACCCATTGTTAGATGTTGGCCCACTGTGTATTTGAGTTTGACCCCTGACCTAAAAGGAAAAAATCAATAAAAAATCAATAAAGTTGACATTTAGTTAGAATTACACAAACAACCCAAAATAAACCACACAGAACTCCAAATGAGTGTCTTAACCTCTCTAAGAGTCCTTTAAAGCTTGAATGAATCCAGATGAGCTCGTGAGCCGGACGTTTGGAAGAACTTTAACAAACCGCTCTTCACACAGCGGCTCCTCATCTTCATAAATCCATCTTAGCGAGGTCTTCGGTCTCTGAGGGAACAGATCCACTCTGCAGGATGTATCCCCTTTAGAGAGGAGGGGGTTCCTCTCTGACGTACACTGGGGGCTCTGTAGGACAACAGGCAGCTAATAGCACCGTGATAAAGGAAAGGAAGGACAAAGAGGGGGGTAGGGACTGAGGGAATAAGGCCTGCGTTGTTCCTAAAGACCCTCTGAAAGACCCTGAGTGGCCCCTCAGAGGCCCCTCAGATCCAGATGATCAGGGTTTACATGGAGATATATATAGACATGTATTTATTAGGATAAACCCATTGAGATGCACCGTCTGGCTTTCAAGGGGGTCCCGACAAACGCAGCGTCTTACAATCAAATCAAATAAATATAATTAACATATTTATTTAAATATAAGACGTTATAATAAGAGCATTATAAAGATAATATTAAATACAAAGAAAGATATTAATATATAAACTCCTGAATGTGGAGAAGACACGTTGTAGAAAATTAAAAGCGTGTTTTTGCCTTTTACTGTTTATTCTAAATCAATGTTTCCGGCAGGGTCTCAGTCAGTAGGGGCTTGGACTGTGAGCCGTAGGGTCGCCGGTTCAAGTCCCCGAACAGACCTAAATATGGAGTGTGGACTTCTACTTGGAGAGGTCCCAGTTCACCTCCTGCCCTGCCGTGGTGCCCTTGAGCAAGGCACCGGACACCCACCTTCCCCCCCCACTCCCATTGCTCCCCGGGCGCTGTACAATAGCTGCCCACTGCTCCTAGTACTAGACTCCTGGTACTAGACTCCTGGTGCTAGACTCCTGGTTCTAGACTCCTGGTTCTAGACTCCTGGTACTAGACTCCTGGTTCTAGACTCCTGGTACTAGACTCCTGGTTCTAGACTCCTGGTACTAGACTCCTGGTTCTAGACTCCTGGTACTAGACTCCTGGTACTAGACTCCTGGTTCTAGACTCCTGGTTCTAGACTCCTGGTTCTAGACTCCTGGTACTAGACTCCTGGTTCTAGACTCCTGGTTCTAGACTCCTGGTTCTAGACTCCTGGTACTAGACTCCTGATTCTAGACTCCTGGTACTAGACTCCTGGTACTAGACTCCTGGTACTAGACTCCTGGTTCTAGATTCCTGGTTCTAGACTCCTGGTACTAGACTCCTGGTACTAGACTCCTGGTACTAGACTCCTGGTTCTAGACTCCTGGTACTAGACTCCTGGTTCTAGACTCCTGGTTCTAGACTTCTGGTACTAGACTCCTGATTCTAGACTCCTGGTACTAGACTCCTGGTACTAGACTCCTGGTACTAGACTCCTGGTTCTAGATTCCTGGTTCTAGACTCCTGGTACTAGACTCCTGGTACTAGACTCCTGGTTCTAGACTCCTGGCACCAGACTCCTGGTGCTAGACTCCTGGTACTAGACTAGACTCCTGGTTCTAGACTCCTGGTACTAGACTCCTGGTACTAGACTCCTGGTTCTGGACTCCTAGTACTAGACTACTGGTACTAGACTCCTGGTACTAGACTCCTGGTACTAGACTAGACTCCTTATTCTAGACTCCTGGTACTAGACTCCTGGCACTAGACTCCTGGTCCTAGACTCCTGGTTCTAGACTCCTGGTTCTAGACTCCTGGTACTAGACTCCTGGCACTAGACTTCTGACACTAGACTCCTGGTTCTAGACTCCTGGTTCTAGACTCCTGGTTCTAGACTTCTGGCACTAGACTTCTGACACTAGACTCCTGGTTCTAGACTCCTGGTACTAGACTCCTGGTTCTAGACTCCTGGCACTAGACTCCTGGTGCTAGACTCCTGGTACTAGACTAGACTCCTGGTACTAGACTCCTGGTTCTAGACTCCTAGTACTAGACTACTGGTACTAGACTCCTGGTACTAGACTCCTGGTACTAGACTAGACTCCTTATTCTAGACTCCTGGTACTAGACTCCTGGCACTAGACTCCTGGTCCTAGACTCCTGGTTCTAGACTCCTGGTTCTAGACTCCTGGTACTAGACTCCTGGCACTAGACTTCTGACACTAGACTCCTGGTTCTAGACTCCTGGTTCTAGACTCCTGGTTCTAGACTTCTGGCACTAGACTTCTGACACTAGACTCCTGGTTCTAGACTCCTGGTACTAGACTCCTGGTTCTAGACTCCTGGCACTAGACTCCTGGTGCTAGACTCCTGGTACTAGACTAGACTCCTGGTACTAGACTCCTGGTTCTAGACTCCTAGTACTAGACTACTGGTTCTAGACTCCTGGTTCTAGACTCCTGATTCTAGACTCCTGGTACTAGACTCCTGGTACTAGACTAGACTCCTGGTACTAGACTCCTGGTTCTAGACTCCTGGTACTAGACTAGACTCCTGGTACTAGACTCCTGGTTCTAGACTCCTAGTACTAGACTACTGGTACTAGACTTCTGGTACTAGACTCCTGATTCTAGACTCCTGGTACTAGACTCCTGGTACTAGACTCCTGGTACTAGACTCCTGGTTCTAGACTCCTGGTTCTAGACTCCTGGTACTAGACTCCTGGTACTAGACTCCTGGTTCTAGACTCCTGGCACCAGACTCCTGGTGCTAGACTCCTGGTACTAGACTAGACTCCTGGTTCTAGACTCCTGGTACTAGACTCCTGGTACTAGACTCCTGGTTCTGGACTCCTAGTACTAGACTCCTGGTACTAGACTAGACTCCTTATTCTAGACTCCTGGTACTAGACTCCTGGCACTAGACTCCTGGTCCTAGACTCCTGGTTCTAGACTCCTGGTTCTAGACTCCTGGTACTAGACTCCTGGCACTAGACTTCTGACACTAGACTCCTGGTTCTAGACTCCTGGTTCTAGACTCCTGGTTCTAGACTCCTGGTTCTAGACTTCTGGCACTAGACTTCTGACACTAGACTCCTGGTTCTAGACTCCTGGTACTAGACTCCTGGTTCTAGACTCCTGGCACTAGACTCCTGGTGCTAGACTCCTGGTACTAGACTAGACTCCTGGTACTAGACTCCTGGTTCTAGACTCCTAGTACTAGACTACTGGTACTAGACTCCTGGTACTAGACTCCTGGTACTAGACTCCTTATTCTAGACTCCTGGTACTAGACTCCTGGTACTAGACTCCTTATTCTAGACTCCTGGTACTAGACTCCTGGTTCTAGACTCCTGGTTCTAGACTCCTGGTACTAGACTCCTGACACTAGACTCCTGGTTCTAGACTCCTGGTTCTAGACTCCTGGTGCTAGACTCCTGGTTCTAGACTCCTGGTTCTAGACTCCTGGTGCTAGACTCCTGGTACTAGGATGGGTTAAAAGCAGAGAACAAATGTCACTGTGTGTGCTGTGTGCTCTGCATGTGAGACCATTAAAGAAGGGTTCATACCTCAATATATTAAATGTTAAAAGATAACATGAACAAAATAACAGAAATCAAAGCATGACAAGTAATACATACAATCATTACAATCATTACAGTTTGATAGACAGTAGAGATGATTATTCGTCCAATGGGAAGGCAGTAAATCACCCTGTTGATCCCGCCTCCTGCACACGACGACAGGGTGAAACAGCGCTGATATAAAACTCTGTTATTGGTTTTTATCTGTGATATCTTTATCCTGTTTTATGTTTCTATGTTTTTATTGTGTGGTCAATTATCTAAGAAATATGTTTTTTGAACAGAATCAGCAAATCTTATCTTATTTTATTTGTTTATAGGGAATTAATTTCAATATATATTTTTTGTAAATAATCAAAATAATAATCAAAAATGTATGTTTTAATGTTGTTCTTCTCCACCACTAGAGGGCGCCAACACGTCATTATTTAACGCAGAGTGGGACCACTTGTTAAAGAGTCCCTATAGTGCATGTCAATGGTCTGCAGAGGATAAAATCCCTGTGTTCCTGCAGAAAAATGAACAAAGTTACAAAGAAACCTCTAACTATTAAATATGAATAGTTAGAGTTTTATCTTGTTTAACAAAAATAAATAAAACAAGGCATAAAAGTGACAACAATTAAACTGAACAACCAATAATTACCCAAAATGACCTAAAAGAGAAACAATCAATACAAAAAAAAGACAACATTTAATGAAAATTACACAAAACAACCCAAAATTACAAATAATTAAATAAAACAGGCCAAACTTTCTGTAACACCTGTGTGTTTGGTCTGACTGTAACACCTGTGTGTGTGGTCTGACTGTAACACCTGTGTGTTTGGTCTGACTGTAACACCTGCATGTTCGGTCTGACTGTAACACCTGTGTGTTTGGTCTGACTGTAACACCTGTGTGTGTGGTCTGACTGTAACACCTGTGTGTGTGGTCTGACTGTAACACCTGTGTGTTCGGTCTGACTGTAACACCTGTGTGTGTGGTCTGAACTGTACCCTGTGTGTGTGGTTGAGTACACCTGTGTGTTCGGTCTGACTGTAACACCTGTGTGTTCGGTCTGACTGTAACACCTGTGTGTGTGGTCTGACTGTAACACCTGTGTGTGTGGTCTGACTGTAACACCTGTGTGTTTCGGTCTGGACTGTAACACCTGTGTGTTCGGTCTGACTGTAACACCTGTGTGTGTGGTCTGACTGTAAACACCTGTGGTGTGTGGTCTGACTGTAACACCTGTTGTGTTCGGTCTGACTGTAACACCTGTGTGTTTGGTCTGACTGTAACACCTGTGTGTGTGGTCTGACTGTAACACCTGTGTGTTCGGTCTGACTGTAACACCTGTGTGTTTGGTCTGACTGTAACACCTGTGTGTTTGGTCTGACTGTAACACCTGTGTGTGTGGTCTGACTGTAACACCTGTGTGTTCGGTCTGACTGTAACACCTGTGTGTTTGGTCTGACTGTAACACCTGTGTGTGTGGTCTTGACTGTAACACCTGTGTGTTTGGTCTGACTGTAACACCTGTGTGTTCGGTCTGACTGTAACACCTGTGTGTGTGGTCTGACTGTAACACCTGTGTGTGTGGTCTGACTGTAACACCTGTGTGTTCGGTCTGACTGTAACACCTGTGTGTTTGGCCTGACTGTAACACCTGTGTGTTTGGCCTGACTGTAACACCTGTGTGTTCGGTCTGACTGTAACACCTGTGTGTTGGTCTGACGTAAACACTGTGTGTGTGGTCCTGACTGTAACACCTGTGTGTTCGGTCTGACTGTAACACCTGTGTGTTTGGCTGACTGTAACACCTGTGTGTTGGCCTGACTGTAACACCTGGTGTGTTCGGTCTGACTGTAACACTGTGTGTTCGGTCTGACTGTAACACCTGTGTGTTTGGGCCTGACTGTAACACCTGTGTGTTTGGTCTGACTGTAACACCTGTGTGTTTCGGTCTGACTGTAACACCGTGTGTGTGGTTGACTGTAACACCTGTGTGTGTGGTCTGACTGTAACACCTGTGTGTTCGGTCTGACTGTAACACCTGTGTGTTTGGCCTGACTGTAACACCTGTGTGTTTGGCCTGACTGTAACACCTGTGTGTTCGGTCTGACTGTAACACCTGTGTGTTTGGCCTGACTGTAACACCTGTGTGTTTGGTCTGACTGTAACACCTGTGTGTTCGGTCTGACTGTAACACCTGTGTGTGTGGTCTGACTGTAACACCTGTGTGTGTGGTCTGACTGTAACACCTGTGTGTTCGGTCTGACTGTAACACCTGTGTGTTTTGGCCTGACTGTAACAACCTGTGTGTTTGGTCTGACTGTAACACCTGTGTGTGTGGTCTGACTGTAACACCTGGTGTGTGTGGTCTGACTGTAACACCTGTGTGTTCGGTCTGACGGTAACACCTGTGTGTTTGGCCTGACTGTAACACCTGTGTGTTTGGCCTGACTGCTAACACCTGTGTGTTCGGTCTGACTGTAACCCTGTGTGTTCGGTCTGACTGTAACACCTGTGTGTTTGGCCTGACTGTACACCTGTGTGTTTGGTCTGACTGTAACACCTGTGTGTTCGGTCTGACTGTAACACCTGTGTGTGTGGTCTGAACTGTAACACCTGTGTGTGTGGTCTGACTGTAACACCTGTGTGTTCGGTCTGACTGTAACACCTGTGTGTTTGGCCTGACTGTAAACACCTGTGTGTTTTGGCCTGACTGTAACACCCTGTGTGTTCGGTCTGACTGAACACATGTGTGTTTGGCCTGACTGTAACACCTGTGTGTTTGGTCTGACTGTAACACCTGTGTGTTCGGTCTGACTGTAACACCTGTGTGTGTGGTCTGACTGTAACACCTGTGTGTGTGGTCTGACTGTAACACCTGTGTGTTCGGTCTGACTGTAACACCTGTGTGTTTGGCCTGACTGTAACACCTGTGTGTTTGGCCTGACTGGCACCCCAGGTGTTACAGTTTTATGGTTCAGTGATATCACTCTTTCTGTTTGTTTATACCCTGTTTTTAATGATGTTCCTCATGTGTTATTGTCATGTTCTGTCACACTCTGTGAAGCTCTTTGGGCTGCGTCCAGCATGAAAGGTGCTAAATAAATAAAGTGTGTTGTTATTATTATTTACACAGTTCATTTGTTGTGTGAATGAGTCATTTAAGTTATTAAAGCTCTCTGTGAGTCTGTTTTAAATGAGCTGTATTGCTGTAACACCTGTGTTTCCCCCCAGGTGTCGGACCAGTCCCACATCATGTTCACAAACTCGATCCATAACAACGAGTCTCAGGTGATCACCAGGAACTACGTGAACATCACCTTCAGCTGCAGATACCCCGTCCGGTACCTGGTGCAGCAGCCGGGGGGGGGGTCACGGGGTGCACGTGCACCTCAGGTAGGGCTCACCTGGGGGGGGTATTTCATGTGAATAGTTAGAGTTTTATTTTGTTTTGTTTTTTAACAGATATTTATAAAACAAAGCTTAAAAACGCCAACAAATTAAAAACAATCAATACAAAAAAAGGGGCAATTAAGTCAAACATTCCACAAAACAACCCAAAAGAAACAAAATAATTACAAAATATCACTACAAAAACTAAATGAGCTAAATTAAAGATAGAAAATTAACCAAATAGACAAAAAAAAACTTGAACTATTAAATATGAATAGTTAGTAAAATATAACAAGATAAAACTTTAACAGAAATAAATAAAACAAGGCCTGGTGGTGGAGAGGGCCTGGTGGTGGAGAGGGCCTGGTGGTGGAGAGGGCCTGGTGGTGGAGGTGGCCTGGCGGTGGAGGGGGCCTGGCGGTGGAGAGGGCCTGGCGGTGGAGGGGGCCTGGCGGTGGAGAGGGCCTGGCGGTGGAGAGGGCCTGGTGGTGGAGGGGGCCTGGTGGTGGAGGTGGCCTGGTGGTGGAGGGGGCCTGGTGGTGGAGGGGGCCAAAAATGAAACAGCAACAACCAATAATTACCTAAAATTACCTTAAAGAAAAACAATCAATAGAAAAAAAGAGGAAATTTAGTAAAAATTACACAAAACCCAAAGAAAACACCCAAAATTACAAATAATTCAATAGAATCACTACAAAAACAAAATGACCACTTATTGTACATATTTTATTAACAAAAATAAATAGAAACAACAACAACAAGGCTTAGAAATTGCCAAAAATGAAACAGAACAACTAATAATTACCTACAAAAATTACACAAAACAACCCAAAAAAAACACAAAATTACAAATAATTAAATAAAATGACTACAAAAACTCAAAAAGGCCAAACATTACAAAATGTGCTAAATTAGAAGATTAAAAATGAAAAGAAAATGATAAAAGAAACACAAACAACTAAAAAAACCTACAAAAACTCACACAAGGCCAAACATTTAAAAATAACCACTTATTGTACAGAATTAGCTAAATGGAAGATTGAACATTAATAATAAAAATGATCAAAAAACAACAAAACACAAGCAATTTAAAATGGTTACATAAAAACACAAAATGACCGATAATTGCATGAATGACCCTGACGACCTGTTATTAGATAGGACATATGAATTTGTTTCCCTTTATGTCACAGGACCATCACTCTGAACACGGAGGACGGGAACTTCTCCGTCTCGATGCTTCTGTTCAAAGACGAGGCGTTCGAGGACCGCTGGACGACCGTGCCCTCCCTCAGGCTGGAGGACCACGTCTTCGTCAAAGTGTTCATGGTAAAACTCCTTCTTTAACTTCCAGAATACTAATAAATCACATTTTGGATTCATCTGAATAATACCTTTAATGGTACACCTCTGTTAAAATATATATTTATTTTGGTAAATCACATTCTAAAAAGTAAAATAACCGATTTGTTATCGTGACTAACTTATACATTATAAATAATAATAAAACTAATTGTTATGGCATTAAAATATTAAATAACTGCATTTTTTTAATGGTAGATAACCTTCGAAATATTTTTATTTTTAAGCAGGTGTGTAGCTTATGGAACAACGAAGCAATTATTTAATTTGAAAAAAAGATGCACATGTAATACTTTGTGTCTTGATTGAAATGCCTTCAATAAAAGAATAGTGTATATTGTGGGTTAAATATGATGATCAGGGATTATTGTGTGTGTGTTGTGTGTGTGTGTGTGTGTGTGTGTGTGTGTGTGTGTGTGTGTGTGTGTGTGTGTGAGTGTGAGTGAGCCGGTTGTTACACCACGTTAAGCAACATGTTGTGACGAAACCAACACCCACACACTGCTGTTTACTCACTGTGTGTGTGTGTGTGTGTGTGTGTGTGTGTGTGTGTGTGTGTGTGTGTGTGTGTGTAGTGTGTGTGTGTGGTGTGTGTGTGTGTGTGTGTGTGTGTGTGTGTGTGTGTGTGTGTGTGTGTGTGTGTGTGTTTCAGATCCCTGCTCACCTGATGCTGCGTATGGAGAGATGCTGGGCGACCCCCTCCAGTGACCCCTACTCTAACATCCAGTACACCTTCATCAGAGACAGGTGAACAATGGACATTTAAGAAGAAGTAAAAATAATACCAGCAGGAGTAAAGAACCAAGATGAACGACACATGGATTAATAATCTGGATTAAAGGCGTTTATTAAAGGTCTCAGATCAGTGTGTTGTTTCCACGGCGTGTTGAAATGTGAAAGCAGACTCTGTTTCTCAGACGCGTCATGTGACTCCTGTCGGGGAGCGCACGTGTGCACATAAACAGCTGTGCACGTGCACGCCCCTGCTCACTCATGCCTGACACCCTGCAGGGTCCCTGAATATCTGCAGTATTACACAGCAGATTTACTGAAGTACTTTGGTAAATAGGGAGGAATTTGTACTTTACTTGAATATTTCATTACATTTTTGTTATTTTTACTGCATTAAAATGATCAGACAGCTATAGTTACTCTGTATGCATTACCTGTTGGTCAAATATGATGCATTATTATAACTTAAACCATCCAAAAGTGTAAAATAGTTCAAATTATCTCCACCAGCTACAGCAATAAGATGCAATAAATCTGTATTTTCTAGGGACATTTTTTATTTGTACAAAATCCATTCTAAATAATTTCTTAACAATATTAATTTATAATTCAAATACATTTTACTGCAAATTATTTTATATTTCTACCTCATTAAATCTGTGAATGCAGGATTTTTAAAGAGCATTTCTTCACCTACTTTTTTGCACATCACCACAGGATTAAAATCTATTCTTGCCTCTATTTTTAATATCTTTTATTCTCCATTCTCCCCTTCCTCAGTTGCCCGGTGCTCTCCAGCGTTCAGACTCTGAGCGTCCTGAGGAACGGGGAGGGGCCCGACGCTGCGTTCAGGCTCCAGATGTTTAAGTTTGTTGGCAGTTCGTATACCAACGTGTTTCTGCACTGCAACGTCCAGATCTGCAGCCTCAGCTCGGGGCAGTGCCAGCCGGTGAGAGAGCCCCAAAAACATCCCCAAATACACCCCTAAACACCCCCAGAAACACCCCCAAAACCGCCCCCCAAACAACCCCAAAAACACCCCAAAAACAACCCCAAAACACCCCAAAAACAACCCCAAAAACACCCCAAAAACACCCCCAAAAACACCCAAACACCCCCTAAAAAACACACCCAACATAACTCTGATTTTTGTTATTATTATTAGCTTTGTTTTATTTATTCTACAGGTTTTGCTTTAGTGCCAGCTGGTGAGACACCCCCCCCCCAAAACCCCCCGACATACCTCTGAGTGAGAAGCCGGTTCAGACACGCTTTAAGAGGAGCTTTACCTTAAAATAGACCCTCTGACCATACAGGGGGGGGGGGGCACTGCAGGGGACATATTTAAGATATCACCATGAAACCCCCCCCCCCCCAACCACATTTTAAATAGTCTTTTAATCTTCATTTATTTTATAGCTTGAGTCTTTAAATCTTTATTATTTATAATTTTTTTCTCTTTCTTTTTTTTTAAAGGTTTTAATATTTTAGGTTTTATTTATTCTTTACATTTCACTTAGTTTGATCAGAGACATCCCCTTTTGATTGGTCTGTCGTCTTTATTAGTTTTGTCTTCCTTTACTTAAAGTGGACCTATCATGCTATATTTGAATAATATAGTGTAGGACCATACCTATATAAGGCATATTTATACTTTTTTTTTTTCAAAATACCAAACAGATCATGCATTTTAGCCATGCCTCATTTTGCTCAATTTGACAATTTATAGCTCTGGGCTGATTCAGTGAGAACAGCACCATCTACAGGCCTGGCATATGTACTACAGCGTCTCCAGCGCTTTCGAACGGCAATGGCCGTGGCTGTCTCCTCCTGATTGGTGGAGTTGGCCCAATAGCCGTAGCGCCACCGTCCTGACGTCAGGACAGTGTTCAAATCTGGATCAGTTTTTATCAGATCCGTTGCAGCCCCTTTTTTAGAGATTTGGGTATGGAGGAAAATAGAGAGGGTTGTGTTTTGTGACACTTGGTGAGTTCCCTGGAACACCGGGGACACATATTCATGTAGAAAAGACGTACAAAAGTGCATTTTGCATGATAGGTCCCCTTTAACCGAGAGGGATAATTACATAAAGATATCTTTATGTTGATTCTCTAGTTTCCTGTTGGGTTGAATATGCTCATGAGGGTTTCTCTAGTTTCCTGTACGTTGGGTTGAATATGCTCATGAGGGATTCTCTAGTTAAACATGTTCTCCTGAATGTGTTGTTGACTGATTTGCTGTTGTTTACATCCAGACGTGTCTCTTCCTGTTTCCTCTGAAACCCAGAACTGTTCCTCTGTCGGTGAGGAAGAGTTGATCCGGACTCGGAGAGACGTTCCTCTGTCTCACACTGTGTCTTACGGACCAATCAGACGCCTCCTACAGGACGGGGGGAAGCCCGGGCTGAGTACGTGTGATTTCTATTAATGAGTCTTTCAATCTGCAGTATGTCAGTGTGTACTCTAGTGCAGTATAAAGTACCTGTAGTGTGTACTCTCGTGCAGTATAAAGTATCTGTAGTTCATTATAAAGTACCTGTAGTGTGTACTCAAGTGCAGTATAAAGTACCTGTGTGTACTGACGTCAGTATAAAGTACCTATGTGTGTACTGAGGTGAGTTTCTCCTGCAGGTGGGGGGCTCCCTGCTGTGGGGACCCTGGTTCTGGGGGGTCTGCTGGTTCTAGTCCTCCTGCTCGTCTCCGGGCTCTTCGGACGCCTGTGGCTCCGCTCCAGAAGCTTCTATCCAATCAGAGAGGCTCAACTCACGCTGTCCAACATTCACACCCTCTCTGAGGTCGCCTCCTGAGGGGGGGGGGGGGCTACCTGTCCAACATCCACACCCTCTCTGAGGTCGCCTCCTGAGGGGGGGGGGGGGGGGGGCTACCTGTCCAACATCTACACCCTCTCTGAGGTCGCCTCCTTAGGACAGACATCCACCAGAGCTACAAATACACATCAAATATTCATTATCATACATTAATGGTCCATAAAATCTCAGGAAATATTGAAAAAGTTCCTTAAAATTCATGGTAAGATGTTTAGATTGAAGATATTCACCTTAATGTGATAAATAACTGGAAACCTATCTACGAGACATTTTCTGACTTTTTTGCACGAAAAATGACAAAATATTGTAAAATATTGCTTATTCGTTCTCTCAAACACAAAAACATATAAAAATACAATCACGTGTACAGGTCTGATTTATTATCACAATGTAAGTCTGGTATACGTCTTCAGGAATTGTTGAAAATAAGCTTAATAAAGGTTTTAAAGTGTGATCTATTTGCAGCTACATGTACCCTCTATGTATGACCAGTCTAACAACCCAACACTGTAGAGTAGTTCATATTTCTGTCATTCTTTTATTTTAATAAACTAATTAAGACATTTAATTCAATTTAAAGTAAACATGCATTATTATTATTTTATCTAAAATTATTTTATTTTGTAGGAAATACTTTCCAACTTGTTTTTTTTTATTTTCTATGACTTTGAGATCCTGTATTTATGTTCATTCTCAGCCATTCTCCTTCATTGTAAAGCCCATTTCCTCTGGTTGATTATTATTATATTACTGTGTGAGTCCAGGGAACATTAAGGGAACATTAAGAGAGTATTTTAATTGCCCTGGCAGGATTCTGCATCCATTAAAACCTATAAATAAACATGTAAAACAGTCCTCGGGTTTTCCCCTCTGTCTATTTCTGAGCGCAGCAGCTCTGCTCCATAACTGATGGGACCACGCTGCTTTACGTGATGACGTAGCATGACGGTGTGCGTCGTTTTTCAAACCAAATTTAGAGTAAACCACGCCCACTTCTGCATAACGAGAGCGTGGAATTGACTCTAAACTAAATTGGGAACATTTTACCAAGAATTAAAACGCTATAGTAGGACCAGCGCCGTATAGATAGAATTCTATTATAGGGCTCTGGACTATTAAACAAGTTTTAAATATTATTATTACTATGTTTTACTTTTCATTTATTTATTTTTCTTTAGAAACAAATATTTAAAAAAAATGTTTATGCTTGAATGAATATGAAATGTCCCTAAAAATTAAATAAATTGTACAACATTTTTTTTTTTTAATCCAGAATATCACCTCAATGTTTACGTTCTCATCCATGACGTAATTACGCACGTTAACGTAGAAGTGGGCGTGTTTAAATCTCAATTTGGTTGGGAAAACGACAAACGTTGCTTTACGTGATGACGTGGCATGAGGACGTGCCTCTCCAGGATCAAAACAACAGACGTTCCCCTCAGATCAGAAGAACCGGAGAACCAGCTGCAGCCAGATCACTTCAGGGGAACATTTAACTCCTTTTACGGCCTTTTATTCTCACTTTACCGCTCTTATCTGATGTCCACAACTCTGATACAAGTACACAAGTAGTGCTTCAGTTCATCCGGAGAACCCCGACACTCGGGTAAGTAGTTTCTGGAAGATATGAGCGAGCTCAGCTAAATATGCTAATGAGGTTTAGCTTCTGATGCTAATGGAGTTTAGCTTCTGATGCTAATGGTGTTTACCAGAGGTGGGAGAAGTACTCAGATCTTGTACTTGAGTAAAAGTAGAAGTACCAGAGTGTAGGAATACTCTGTTACAGTAAAAGTAGAAAAGTATTATCATCAAAATATAGTTAAAGTAGCGACAGTAAAAGTAGTCATTGTGCAGATTGGTCCATTTCAGAATAATATATATGATATGTTTTATAATGATTGATCATGAAAGTGTTCTCAAAGCTGGTAAAGGTGCAGCTAGTTTGAATGACTTTGTATACTGCAGGGTAGCTTGTGGATTTACTCCAGGTGGAACTAAAGTCTGATTTAACACTTGATTATATTTCACATCATTCATCCACATCTGTAAAGTAACTAAAGGGATTCAATACATGTAGTGGAGTTAAAGTACACAATGTACCTCTGAACTGTAGTGGAGTAGAAGTACACGGTAGCATAACATGGTAATACTCAAGTAAAGTACAAGTACCTCAAAATTGTACTTAGGTACAGTACTTAGTTTACACTTCTGAAGTTTAGCTGAGATGCTAATGCAGTTTAGCTGCTAATGCTAACTGTCCGAACATGTTGTTGTTCTTTTGTTAAACTTTAAAAAGTGTTTAAGACTTAACATGTCACACTTCTCAGTGCCCAGGTATCATGAAAACTCGTTATAATGAAATATATAATGGTGATATAAGTGCTGCTAATCTTCTAAACGGTTAGCTTTGTTAAAGCCGGTGTTGTTTGTGTTAGCTGTTTGCTAACTTGCTAACAGCTGTGCTTACGTCATGTAACCAGCTGTTGCTTACCATGTGCTTTAATAATATTAGATACGGCTTTATTTATCCAGAAGCAAGATATTGTGCCAGACTTACAACACATTTAGTACAACAAATAATAATAATGAAGCTGCTGCTGAAGTATGCTAAAGGACATACATGGTGTTATTTTATAAGTTAATATTTATTCGCATATTTAAATGCAACCATATCGTGATGAAATGTCCAAATATTTCGACACATTAACATCATGTAAACTGATAATAACAAGCATGTGCTAAAACATGTGATGGGAAATGTAACACTTGACCAGCTGGACATATAAAGAGTTTGAAGGGGTGTTTATTTCTCTCTTAACTTCAATAAAACATGTTATTTACCTTTTTGCACTAAGGTTCTCATTTAGAAAATACAGTATGATAAACATAACAATACAACTGTACACCAACAGTGAAGAGCAAAGTAAACAAGAACAAACAAAGATGGACAAAAGTGATATTATTGCACTCGATATGAAGCAGAGTGTCTTGTAACGGTGATATTGCACATTGTGGTGGTGTGGTTGCTCTCCTCACTGAAGGGGGAGTGAAGGAGGTGATGCATAACAATAGCCCTCCTGTGTGGCTGTTTGCGGGTATTTAAATGATTGTTTTGTGTCTGTAGCCACCCTTCATTATCCTGTAAATCCCCTCACCCATGCACCTGGAGCACAGTAAGCCCCCCCGGCTAATGATTCAGAGTTATTCACCTCGAGGTGGTGTTGTTCTGGGTCTGAGGGAGATGTTGAAACTCAGATCCAGAGGTGAGGGTCAGGCCTGGAGGAACCGGTGAAACCTAAGAGGGGGGGGTGGGGGTGGGGGTGGGGGTTGTGAAAGGTTACCAGCGGCACAAAGATTCATAACAAGCAGAGAGGACATGTTGGGGGGGGGGCTACAGTTACCCAATACTCTGCTGTGGTCTCTCTATCTAAACAAAGAGGACTGGGCAGTGAGCGAAATGTAAAAATATCAGCAAATAAAGGAGACCTTTTTCATTAACAATTGGCAGATTGAAATCTAGATTAAAAACTGTAAATCAGAATCCCTTTATTAGTCCCGCAGTGGGAAATCACAGCGTTCCACCAAATAATAAGTAGCTATCATCATCATCATCATCATCATCATCATCATCATCAAAAAGGCAGTAATAATATAATAAACAAGGCAGAAAGTACAAACCATGGCTAAGAAAGGAGCATTTAAATAGCTGTGTGAACATATTGATGTGTGAGATACTATACAACTTGTGTTTTGCACATAATTAATGGTCTATCAAATCTCAGAAAATAGTGAATAATATCAGTTTCCAAAAGGTAAAAGTGTTGTTTACATATCTGGGATCACCTGATCATTACAGCTCTACAAAGACAAGCTTCATGAAGAACTAACCCAGAGTCGATATCTCCGGTCAGAGGGTTGCATGGTGTCTGGATCAGTGAGAGCAGCATGCTGTGCTCACTGACCGCTCCATGTGTTTACATCTAAACACTGTTGTTGTTGTTGTCGGGGCTTGCTTTTGGTTTCATAAGAGTTGCGAAATAATACGCTTTCTAGAGCTGCCCCCCCCCCATAGTCATTTGGTATGTTAAATACATCCAGCATTAAAAACCACTTGTGTCAAGTAGACCTGAACAAAACAACAACATCTTAAATCTGCAGCTGTTGGAGGACACTTAGTGGTGGAACACAGGTTTACAGGTCCGTCCTTTAAGCCCAGAGAAGTACTACCTGTAAAAGGCCTGAGATGTGGTGTGGGATGTTTGAGGGTTGCATAAGTTCCTGGGATAATGTAACGGCAGCTTTATGTATTTACATCTCGACAGTGTTGTTGTCAGAGCTTGCATTTGGATTTTAAAGAGTTGTGAAATAATTAATTTCCAAGGACTGCAGTAGATTTCCAGGATTTGATGTGCACTGACCCGAGTAGCAGACACTTATGAACACATCTCTGTCGGGCCGGGGGTTTTCTAGGAGCTACATTTCAATGACATCCTTTTGTGATGAAATGAATTCTCCAAATATTGTGACACGGTAACATCATGATAATATCAAGCGTGTACCAACACTAACCATCTCTCAGAAAGTGTGCGTTGAAATCTCCTCTGAGGTCGGGTTTTATATCAAATGAACCCAGATGCATGTAAATGGGCTAAAGCTGGAAATATTACAAATACTTTAAAGTATTGAATCCACTAAGGACCATGTTGTTATTACATATTGACTATTTTTATTTGAATGAATTACCAGAAAACATGCCGTCTCCTGATGTTCATCATCGACTTTTATCGGGAGAGAAGATTTTGACGCCAAGTCCTAAACTGATAAACACAAGATTTAAAGACACATTTTTTTTTTTAATTCTAGTCCAGGATTTATTCAGTTGGTTTTGTGGAGGTAAATTAAATGATCCGTTAGTCCACACAAAGTTATAACAAGAGATAGTTGAGATTTTCTTTATCCGATGAAGGCACACATGTGTCAAACTCAAGGCCCGGGGGCCAAATCAGGCCCTTGGTGGATTTAATTTCGGCCCACAAGATAATTTCTAATTACTATTAGATCTGGCCCTCCGGTATATTGCACGCACACCTTCACTCCATCCTGAGGGTCTCCTCAGCTCAGAGCCTGAGCCCAAACATTGATGAACTTGCACCCAAGATGAGATGCCAAGTATCTGAGCTAGCATCACAGAGCAGCACACTGAGTTTACATGGATGTTTCCTTCTGCACTTTCTCTCTCACGACAACAGGACATGTTTGGTTTGTTCTTTGAGGGAAATAGTTTTGTTGAAGCTGTTGTTGGCCTGTGGAGAAATTGTACTCATAAGAAATGACTCTGGAGAAGCTGCAGATGGAGCCATGAGAAATGAATGCAACTGATTATTTAATGTTAATGTTGTTTTTATAGGCAATCATTTAAGCTTGTTAGTTCCAGGTTTAATATGTGCAATAAGTTCATTTCAATAAGTGTTGCTATAAACATTGAACCAGTCCGGCCCTCGACTAGTACCCATTTTAAAAATGTTGGCCACTGTGTATTTGAGTTTGACCCCCCTGCTCTAATATGTCGCTGTCTTTGTTTTCAGGGTTGAACGCTTCGCCAGATCCCGTTGGGCGAGGAGATCGAGGAGCAGAGAGTTAAACCATGGAGAGCCTGCACTCCCACTGCATGAAATGCATCAAGAGACGGTGCATGGTGCGCCCGGAGCCGGGGGTTTGCTGCGACCTGATTGGCTGCCCTCTGGTCCTGCGGGGGCGGTGTTTCACTCCTGTAAACTGGACGAGCACCGGCTGCTGTGTGCCTACGAGCGTCTGCCGTGCATCAACAGAGGCTTCGGATGCCCTTTCAATATCACCCGCATCCGCATGGCCAAACATCTGGAGAAGTGTCCGGCTAGCATCGTTTGTTGCACCATGGAGTGGAACAGATGGCCCGTTAGCTACGCAGACCGCGAGTCCTACGAGAATCTGAGCAAAGACTTTGACGAGGTGGAGCAGCTGGACATGGCTCTGGCTCTGCAGGACCAGAGGATGCTGCTGGAGTCTCTGAAGGTCACCACCACCGTGTCCAAGGACAAGGACCACAAGAAGATGTCCAACGGGGCGTCAAACGCACCTGAGGTGGTGGAGATGGAAGAGGAGAAAGAGGAGGAATCGGTGTATAACGGGGGCTTCAGTGCCTCCTTGGAAACCAGCAGGAGTTTAGCCGCCGCTCTGGACATACTCACCAACTCCAAGGACATCGAAGTGATCGTGGGGGGGGTTGAACGGAGGGAAGAACGGAGGGAAGAACCATGTTTACGCAGCAGAAGGGGGGAAGAACGTGGACATGAAGGAGGAGGATTCAGACTCGGATTGTGAGCTGGGAGCGGTGGGAGGAGTGGACTGTGCAGTTGGGACAGAAGATTGGGTGGAGGAGAGAGACTTTGTGGAGCTTTTCTTCGAGGAGAAAGAGGTGGAGAGCATCGATGAAGAGGAAGAAACCATCGATGATTCCCAGTTGGTGTATCCGGTACTTCCTCTGAACTCTCTTCCCATGGCGCTGCTTTCTCAGGACTTCCTTCAAGCTCCAGTGCTTCGACCAGACTTCCTTCAAGCTCCAGTGCTTCGTCCAGACTTCCTTCCCGTGGTTCAGCGACCTCCAGGCTTTCATCCCGTGGTTCAGCGACCTCCAGGCTTTCATCCCGTGGTTCAGCGACCTCCAGGCTTTCATCCCGTGGTTCAACGACCTCCAGGCTTTCTTCCCGTGGTTCAACGACCTCCAGACTTTCTTCCCGTGATTCAGCGACCCTCCAGGCCTTCTTCCCGTGGTTCAAGCGACCTCCAGGCCTTCTTCCCCGTGGTTCAACGACCTCCTCCAGCGACCCCCCGATGCCTCTCCGTCTGTCGGACCACGTGATGCGTAACGGCTTCCTGCAGCACCTCCCCTCAGAGTTACGGTTCCGCTGCCTGGAGAGGAAGCTTCAGAGCGTGGAGGTTCTCCGGGGGATCAGCATGTTCACTTTTAACGGCCGCCGGGCACCTCTATCCGACCCCTACTGGTTCCGAGCCAAAATGGAGGACAAGTCTGTGGACACGTCGGATTTGGAGGTGGCGGACGACCCGATGGGGCTTCACGGCATCGACTTAATCACCGCGGCGCTTCTTTTCTGCCTCGGCGACTCCCCGGGGGGTCGCGGAATCTCCGACAGCCGCTTCGTGGACGGATATCACATCGATTTCGGCACCCAGACGTTCTCCTTCCCCTCCGCTATCCTCGCCACCAACACAATGGTTGGAGACGTGTCTTCGGCGTCCGCTTGTGATCACGCCAACCCCCAACTCTCCAACCCGAGCCCGTTCCACACGCTGCGTCTGGACCTGGTTCTGGAGTGCGTGGCTCGATACCAGACAAAACAGCGTTCTATGTTTACGTTTGTGTGCGGGCAGCTGTTTCGACGGGACGAATTCTCCTCGCACTTCAAGAACGTGCACGGGGATATCCACGCGGGTTTGAACGGATGGATGGAGCAGCGTTGTCCTCTGGCGTATTACGGATGCACTTTCAGTCAACGTCGCTTCTGCCCCTCGGTGCAAGGTTTCCGGATCATCCACGACCGGCACCTTGGGTCCTTCGGGGTGAAACCAGGCCCCCCGAGGTGTCGCAGGAGGGTAGGGTGTGATGGGGATCAGCTGAGCGGCCTTCCCTTCGAGGTGCTGCAACATGTGGCCTCCTTCCTGGACTCCTTCAGTCTGAGCCAGCTGTCCAGGGTGTCCCGCACCATGAGGGAGGTGTGTGGCAGTCTGCTGCAGATGAGAGGCATGGTGGTGCTGCTGTGGAACAAGATCAGGAGAGCGGACGGGTCCTCATCGTGGCAGATCACAGACAAGGTCAGGAAGATTGTATTTCTCTAAAAAAAACAGGGTTCCTATATATCCTCAAACATCTTTAAAAGCTTTGCATTCATTATAGAGCTGCAACTCAAAGTGTCAGACAATTCCCCATGCCACCCGCCCCCGCCCCCGGGGCAAAAACACAACAATATTCACGAAACTGTGTCTCAGGGCTTCTTAACATTTAAGAATTTTTTTTTTACTATTTGAAAACACTTTAAAAAAAAACACACAACTAATCCTGAAAAGAATCTGCATTTTACTCCAGAATCAAAATGATAATTTGTTGGATTAGGAAATCATAAAATCATCCTTTTCTGAATTTGCAATTTTGAAAATATTTAAAGTGGACCTATCATGCTATATTTGAATAATATAGTGTAGGACCATACCTATATAAGGCATATTTATACTTTTCTTTTTTCAAAATACCAAACAGATCATGCATTTTAGCCATGCCTCATTTTGCTCAATTTGAAAAATGTTAGCTCTGTTTTAGCAAGGGCAGATTCAGTGAGAACAGCACCACCTAGAGGCCTGGCATATGTACTACAGCGTCTCCAGCGCTTTCGAACGGCAATGGCCGTGGCTGTCTCCTCCTGATTGGTGGAGTTGGCCCAATAGCCGTAGCGCCACCGTCCTGACGTCAGGACAGTGTTCAAATCTGGATCAGTTTTTATCAAATCCGTTGCAGCCCCTTTTTTAGAGATCTGGGTATGGAGGAAAATAGAGAGGGTTGTGTTTTCTGACACTTGGTGAGTTCCCTGGAACACCGGGGACACATAGTCATGTATAAAAGACGTACAAAAGTGCATTTTGCATGATAGGTCCCCTTTAAACTGCCAACTATAAATTGATAAAATGGGATTTTTTAAAGTTTTGGCGGAAAACACCAGTTTAGCATGTCTTGTGATTAAAATAACGAATGCACTACAAAACAGAGTACTTGTTGAAGTCAATTTTTTTTTTTAACATTGAGAGAAATGTGACCAAATTGAGGCAAAATCATCTCTAACACTTCATTCTTACATTTCTTTCTGAGGTAAATTCTGTTCCCAGATACTCAGATACTCACTGCTTTAAGAATTTGTTTTACAATTATTAAAACACACAACTAATCCTGAAACTAATCTGCAGCTTAATTTGAGGCAAAATGATCTCCATTTAAAAAAAGATTTTCCCCCTAAATGTCTGGTTTTGCAAAGTCGTTTATAAAAATAAGTATTGGATCCAACTTTCCTTTAAAAGCACAGATTTTTTTGACCGTTTTCTTTGAGTAGCTATGCTACCCCCACCCTGATATTTAACCCCCCTACGGTTCAGTTATTCTTTAGTCATTCTTACATTTATTTCTGAGGTTTATGAAATATGTTTTGGATCTAACGTTCCTTTAAAAACACTGATTTTTGTTTCTGTTTTCTTTGAGTAACTATGCTACCCCCGCCCTGATATTAACCCCCTCTCTTCTTCGTTGGTGTCCAGGTGTGGCGCTTCAGCACGGCGTTCGGCACGGTGAACGAGTGGAAGTTCGCCAACATCGCCAGCATGGCCGAACACCTGAAGAAGTGCAAGTTCAACCAGATCACCAGACGCGAAGAGGCCGTGCCGCTGCCCTGCATGTGCTTCACCAGAGAGCTCACCAAGGAGGGCCGGTGCCTCAGATCAGTCCTCAAACCTGTGGCGTGAAGACCACGACGTTTCTCCCGTGTTTACAGACTCTGAGCGCTTCTCTGTGACGCACATTCACTGAAGACGTTGTTTCCTCCAGTGATTACAGACTCTCAGATTCACCGTCTCCTCTCTGAGGGAGCTACTGAAGACGTTGTGTTAATAACAACCTTTTTTTATTTTTATATCAAAGAGTCAGCGAGCTCTCAGAGGAACCGCCTTGTCTCCTGATCAGTCAGTCACATTTCTCTGGAAGCTCTTGTGACCACGAGGGAGCTTGATTTCTACAAGTTAGAATAATTATGCTGATCCCTAAATCTGGAGATTTGACATCCCGTCGGACTCTGAGACTCTGGGATGCACATTTTAAATATGTTCTGACAATTTGTACACAAAACCTTTCGTTTAGTAAATCTGCACACCTGTCAGCAACCGTCCTCATCAATTAAGCTTCAAATAAAGGCCTTAATCACACTGGCTGTCCTCCAGAAGAGGATTAGGGCCATGTGTAAAAACAATTATAAAAATCTGACCAAAAGTGATTTTATTTTTTACGTTTTCAGAAAAAAGGTCAGAATTATTTTTTGCTCAGAATTCACACTTTTTTCTCAAAAGTCAATGATCACTTTTGATCAGATTATTTTTGTGGCTCTAATCCTCTTCCTTATCAACCGCTAATCTAAAAAAATGTAAACATCTGCTTACAGTGATTATTCTGAGTCTTCTCATACTTGCCAACACCTGGAATAAATTGCTCTGAGTTAATAATTAAAGCAGCATTTTTTTTTTAAATAATGTTCCCTAAACTCTGTGATCATGCTAAACTAAGCTAACACTAGCCTCGGGTCGTTCTCTACAGCCATGAATGTCAGTGAGTGCCGGACCTCATTAACCCTGCAGGACAGGGACACTCACACACTCAGTGTGAGCAGATACAGGTGTGAGAGCAGATACAGGTGTGAGAGCAGTATTAGAATAACAGCAGGGGGTCAATATGTTAAATATATAATATAGATATCATAAACACCTGAACGTGAATTCCTGAGTGAGAAAATCTAATGTTTTACAGAAACTGACTGTAAAGAAGAAAAGTGTGATTTTTGTTTTTATATTTTCTTTGAAGTTTTGGTTTTTATTTTACATTTTTTTTGTACCGGTACTTTCTCTGTGTTTTTGGATCTGAATGACGTGTTTGCACATGAAGGCGTGTACTGTAAGACTTTATATTTGTGACGTAGCGGGACGTTTCTGTCCCTCCAGTTTCTGCATGTGTTTGGTTTCAGTTTTACACGTTCTCTCTCTCTCAGGCACCGTGAAGCACATTAACACAGCACCTCAGAGACCTGATGGAGCCTCAGAGGCCCTGATGGATCCTCAGAGGACCAGCAGCACCTCAGAGGCCCTGATGGACCCTCAGAGGACCAGCAGCACCTCAGAGGCCCTGATGGACCCTCAGAGGACCAGCAGCACCTCTGAGGCCCTGGTGGATCCTCAGAGGACCAGCAGCACCTCTGAGGCCCTGGTGGATCCTCAGAGGACCAGCAGCACCTCAGAGGCCCTGATGGACCCTCAGAGGACCAGCAGCACCTCTGAGGCCCTGGTGGATCCTCAGAGGACCAGAGCAGCACCCTCTGAGGCCCTGGTGGATCCTCAGAGGACCAGCAGCACCTCTGAGGCCCTGGTGGATCCTCAGAGGACCAGCAGCACCTCTGAGGCCCTGGTGGATCCTCAGAGGACCAGCAGCACCTCTGAGGCCCTGATGGATCCTCAGAGGACCAGCAGCACCTCTGAGGCCCTGGTGGATCCTCAGAGGACCAGCAGCACCTCTGGTTTTTTAATAATGCAGATATTTGTAATTTTAATAAAGACTCAGTTTTTAAACGTTGATTGTTTTTGTTGTTCCTTAAAGCCTGAATGTTACGCAGGTTACGTATTTATATATTATTATTTTAAGTAACAAGGATAGTTATTTTACTGACTGAGATTCTGGTTGTCGTTAAATTTGATAATAATTAATCATTTATTTTCTAAAATATAGTTTGATCACAAGTTCAGTCAGGAGAGACTTCATTTGTTTAAAGAACATTTATTAACATGTCATGTGATAAATGTTAAAGGTGGGGTAGGTAATTTTGAGAAACCGGCTCGAGATCGCTAGAATTTGAAAATACACAACCGGAGAAAATCTGCCACTTCCTTACAGAGCCCCTCCTCCAACACACACGAACGCGCACATGACCAATGAGGGCACGAGATAAGTTTGTGCACAGATGGAAGGCTGACAGGCAGGTAGGCCATCCAGTTATTTTAGCCGGGCCGGCTCAAATGATTGGTCGTGCTTTTTACAGTACTACAGCTTCCACAGATGATATTTTTTTTATGGATTTTTTGTCAAAGCACTTCAGATATTCATTGCTATCGGGATGTTAAGAGCATTCCATGGAATATAACAAAAAGTGTATCTCGAGCCGGTTTCTCAAACTTACCTACCCCACCTTTAAGTCTTTGGCGATTAGACCCCCATCCTGAAACCGTATCTAAAGGGGGAAATGCAGCCGTGAGCATATAGGGGACCCCCCGGGGTCTAGACACTGATGATTGGATGAAGAGGAGGTGTGATGAGGTTTTTGGATTAGCTCTCCTGGCACTGGAGGTGGATGGTGGAAGGAGGTGGATGGGGAGGAGGAGGTGGATGGGGAGGAGGAGGTGGATGGGGGGAGGCGGGCGGCAGCATGAAAACCTGAAATCACAGCTGACTGCAGGAGAGAGGAGAACCATTTAAAAGTTTGGCTGCAGCACGCTGATTGGCTGCTGGAGAATGAGGTGAAATGTAATTGGTTAAAGAGACGCCCGTGATGAGCTGATTATAAGCAGCTGCAGAGTGAACATACAGAACTCACACTGAGCTCCATTTACCTTTTTTAACAGTAATTATGTTTTTATTTGTATTTTCATGCATACGTTGTGTTTTTGCCAGAGATACAAGTAATGGCACAAATGCGTCAAATTAAACCTTTATTTAAATACAAATATGTAATAATGTGTTAGTTTTACAAAGGCTCAGATAAGGTCAGGTACATTAATGAATAACATTTTAAATTATTAAAACATTTGATTAAATTATTGGGCTGATTTGGCTAAATGTAAAGTATGCATTGTACTCAGATCTGGTACTTGAGTAAAAGTAGAAGTACTCAGATCTTGTACTTGAGTAAAAGTAGAAGTACTCAGATCTTGTACTTGAGTAAAAGTACTCAGATCTTGTACTTGAGTAAAAGTACTCAGATCTTGTACTTGAGTAAAAGTAGAAGTACTCAGATCTTGTACTTGAGTAAAAGTACACCACTCACCTCTGAACTGTAGTGGAGTAGAAGTACAAAGTAGCATAACATGGAAATACTCGAGTACAAGTACCTCTAAAGTGTATTGAGTACAGTACTTGAATAAATGTACTTAGTTACTTTAGACCCTAAACAAGCTCACAGTAAAGAAAGAAACAGCTTCCAGGTTCACACCGACTTCCACTGCATTCATCAAGAGAGCCACATCGTGTATCTGTTATATTATATTATATTATTCCTTCACACGATTATCAAATTCATTAATAGGTCAAATGGATGCATGACAAATATTAACATGTTCTCCTTTTAAAAGGGTATAATAAACATCTCAATATGTTTTTCTGGATGTAAATAGAAGTTTGAGATTTCACAGACATAAGTACAGTTTTAGGAGTTTATAAACCATGCCGTTTCACCTGCTCGCCGCCGGGTGGCGCCATATCATATAACATCACAACAAACATTCACTGGTTTCTGAGTCCATCCTCACACAAGAGAGGCTTTTCATTTGGCATTTGGCTCGAGTTAGGGTTACACTCTGGACAGATCATGATCTCAAATATTGATTTAACTCTGATATAAGGAGCATGCTGCATATTACCCACACGCTACTAATGCTACGGGGAGCTCTTACCTGCTGCTAGGAGCTGTAGCTTCAGTCACATGTTGCCTTCTGGCTTTCTGAGGATGATTGTCTGCAGGTGTGTGACGTGTGTGTGTGTGTGTGCGTGTGTGTGTGCGCGTGTGTGTGTGTGTGTGTGTGTGTGTGTGTGTGCGTGTGTGTGTGTGTGTGTGTGCGCGCGCAAGTGTGACGCTGAATATCTTCACAGCTTTGCGTCTCAAATAACCCTGAAAAACGTCCCTAAAACACAGAAATCTAGACCTAATTTTAGACAAAACGGGGGAGTAACACCCTAAAACATGATTACAAATCAAATTAAAACATATAATTATAGCCTGTGCAGGATGGTGATGCATAACCCGACACAACCTGATGGTTTAATGTGTGTTTAATGTGTCTGGATGTGTTTAAGTGTTCCCTTTTAACAGCAGATTGTTAACATGAAACCACACAGTTCTTCACGTTTCTGCAAAAAACAGACAATAATGTATTTCCTTTCTTACCGTATTTCACATCTGTGTTGCTCTGATCAGATGGGAATTTGAAACGGCTCTGTGAACACAAACCTGACTGCCTGTACCGTCGCTTTGTTGCGGTGAAATCGCCGTTTTTCAACAGAATCATATTTTGTTTTTCGTGATTTTTAACTTTATTTAAAACATCCGGCTACCAGGAGTGGGGTTCGAACCCACGAGGACTGATGTCCATTGGATCTTAAGTCCAACGCCTTAACCACTCGGCCATCCTGGTGCATAAACACTGCGTCACACTGCAGGTGAGTGAACCTGTGATTGACGTCACGACGCAGTCACGTGACAAGACATTTCAACACTCTGAAAACAATCCGGTTTTAAAGGAACTTTCCTCGAGTATTTCTATTTTCTGTCACGTGATACTTCTCTACTCCACTAAGACAAAGGTATTTCGCTTTGTATTCCACTTCTATTATCTGACAGCTTTACCGATATACAGCTTCTAAAATAAGATGTTTGTTTGAAATGTTACAGCTTTAGTCAATATGAAAATGAATTAACAACTTTATTCATAATTATAATTGTTCATGCTAAAGATCAACAGTGTTTGTTCCAGATCCTCTCACGTGATGTTTTTATTTTTAATACTTTAAATCTGTTTTTATTCATTTTAGGTTTCTGCAACATGTACTTTTACTCGTAATACTAATGGGGTAGGTTAGTTTGAGAAATCGGCTCGAGATACACTTTTTGTTATATTCCATGGAATGCTCTTAACATCCCGATAGCAATGAATATCTTAAGTGCTTTGACAAAAAATCCATTAAAAAATATCATCTGTGGAAGCTGTGGTACTGTAAAAAGCACGACCAATCATCTGAGCCGGCCCGGCTAAAATAACTGGATGGCCTACCTGCCTGTCAGCCTTCCATCTGTGCACAAACTTATCTCGTGCCCTCATTGGTCATGTGCGCGTTCGTGTGTGTTGGAGGAGGGGCTCTGTAAGGAAGTGGGAGATTTTCTCCGGTTGTGTATTTTCAAATTCTAGCTTTCTGCTTTTACTCAGTGATGTAAAGTAACTAAGTACTTTTACTTGAGTAACATTTTGAATGCAGGACTTATATTGTACCAGAGTATTCCTACACTCTGGTACTTCTACTTTTACACAAGTACAAGATCTGAGTACTTCTACTTTTACTCAAGTACAAGATCTGAGTACTTCTACTTTTACTCAAGTACAAGACCTGAGTACTTCTACTTTTACTCAAGTACAAGACCTGAGTACTTCTACTTTTACACAAGTACAAGATCTGAGTACTTCTACTTTTACTCAAGTACAAGATCTGAGTACTTCTACTTTTACTCAAGTACAAGATCTGAGTACTTCTACTTTTACTCAAGTACAAGATCTGAGTACTTCTACTTTTACTCAAACACAAGATCTGAGTACTTCTACTTTTACTCAAACACAAGATCTGAGTACTTCTCTACCTCTGCTTTTACTCGAAGTACTTTAACTACATGTTACTGCACAATTTAAAAACACTTGTACTTAAAGCACTTTATAAAGACTTTTCTGAATAAGTAATACTTCTACTACAGTATCTGCACTTTGCATACGTAACATGTTGAATGCAGGACTTGTATGTGTCGTAAAGTATTTCACAGTGTAGTGAGTACTCCCTCTAACTGGGACCCCCCGTGTTTCACTCTGAAATATAAATTACATTTTAATTTTACCGTCATGACTCGGAGGCTGCTGTGCAAACACTCAGTGTTGATTCAGCAAACTCATTACACACATACAATGCTTCATTAATGTGCAGAAAACACACACACACACACACACATGCACACACACTCACACACACACACACACACACACGCACGCACGCACGCACGCACGCACACACACACACACACACACACACACACACACACACACACACACCTGCAGAAAACACAGTGAAAATACGAGCTGCAGGAAACTGAACACTACTGTGTGAAGAGGAGCTTCAGTCACGTGAAGCAACACGTTGAGAAACAGACACACAAACACACACACACTCGCAGTTGCACAACCCCCCCCCCCTCACCACAGGCTGCGCTTCCTAACAGCCGATGAGCAACGCCTGAAAGCTTCTAAAGAGCCGTTTACAGAAGAGCAGTCATGATGAGAAACTCATACAAACATCATATCACATTTATTATTATTATTATTTACACTCATAAATATCATTACATCACAAAGCTGAAAGAGGAAGAGGGCAGTGATGGGTGAACTATAATCAGATTACTTTTGATAACATAAACACATTCTCATACTGCCTATACTTCTTTTCACCCTCTGTCTGAAACCAGAGCTGCTCTGATTGGTCAACCAGCTTAGAGATGTCCCGCCCCCTTTAGCCTATCACGTAAAATGTGTTGGAGGCACGATCGTTCCATAGTGATGTCATTTTGTTACAGAACTCAGGGATTTTAGCATCTGCAGACCATTGACATGCACTATAGGGAGAGGGAACACCACAGGAGAGGAATAGGGCCTCTTTAAAGACATGTTGTTGTTTTTGTTTGTGTTTGTTAAGGGCTCATTTCATTTAAACATCTGTAAATGCACATTCTTTTAATTTAAAATGTTTGTGTTTTTTAAAAAGGAATATATTTTTAAGGCTGTGTTCAGATAAGATGGCGTGAAAGAGGAAATATATTGTGTCATCTTTTACAGGAACCGTGTTCTCAGTAACAATCAGGAAACAACACTGACACCTCACTTCTGTTTTAAGATGCTTCAATAAATACACATATCACAGGCGTCTCTGCAGGAGAAGCAGATGAACATAATAAAATAACGTTTCATGAAGAAATTGCGGTGTGAATGCTGCTTGCTGAATGTCAGCATTCACACCATATGTTCTTCATCTGGACATTTCTCTTTGTTGATTCCCTTCTCCTTCCACATTTTACATCGCAGAATCTCTATTCCAACATCAAAACGTGCAGCTCGATCAGGACATGATCGCTATTCCTCTGGACGTTCATAACTGTCATAAATCTAGAAATATTCACCATAATTCCACCCTTTAGTATCGAAGTCTTCACTGTTTTGTGGTGGGCTACAACATGTTAATGAATAATGTTTAATATTTCTAGAATTATGAAAGATATGAATGTCCCAAGTAATAGCGTGCATGTCCTGAATCTACGAGTACAAATCTACTAATTCCATAAATCTACGTGTATAATTCAAAAGTTAGTATCGAAGTCTTCACCGCTTTGTGGCGACTGTGGCTCAGTGGGCTACAAAATGTTGATGAATTATGAGTTAGTATTTCTAGAATTATGAAAGTTGTGAATGTCCAGAGTAATAGCATGCATGTCCTAAATCTACATGTACAAAACGACTAAGTCCATAACTCTACGTGTATATTCAAAAGTTCGTATCGAAGTCTTCACTGTTTTGTGGCTCAGTGGGTGATCATGGGAGCACTGATTCACTCCCACGGCTACAACATGTTGATGAATAATGTTTGTTTATTTCTGGAATTATGACCGGTATGAACGTCCCGAGTAATGACGAGCATGTCCTAATTGAGCTGCACGTTTGGATGTGGAAACGGAGATTCTACGATGTAAAATGTGGAGAAGAAGGCAATCAACAGTCAGAATGTTTTCAGATGAAGAACATATGTCGTGAATACTTCCAATAAATAACTCAATAACCCTGGGGTCAGTATTTGTTGTTTTGTTTTACTCGTCCCCTGAAAGGCGCTATATACATTTAAGTTATTATTATTATTATTGTTAGTTGCAGCAGGGGCACCAGAAGAGTGTCCTGCAGGGATGGTTCCTCTGGTACTTCACGGCCTTCTTGATCTGAACGTTGGCCTTGGTACATAGTCATAATATTTCTAGAATTAAGACAGTTATGAACGTCCCGAGTAATGACGAGCATGTCCTAATTGAGCTGCACGTTTGGATGTGGAAACGGAGATTCCACGATGTAAAATGTGGGAGAAGAAGGCAAGATATTTTCAGATGAAGAACATATGTCGTGAATACTTCCAATAAATAGCGGGAATGCGTGTCAGTTGCAGCAGGGGCAGCAGCAGCAGAAGAGTCTCCTGCAGGGATGGTTCCTCTGGTACTTCACGGCCTTCTTGATCTGCACGTTGGCCTTGGCCACGTAGTCCTGCGTGGCGCCCACGTTGGCCTGGATGTTGTCCAGCATGACGCCCTGCTCCTCCACCAGCGAGGCCATCTGGGCGAACAGATCGTGGATCTCTCGAATCCTCTGCTCCAGCTCCAGAAGCTCCCGCTGACGGTTCTCCATCTCGCTGAGCGCCGTCCTCGCAGATCGACCCTCCAGAAGCAAGTTATCGGAGAACACGTTCCACTTCCCCGTCTCAATCATGTCGTCGATCTGCTCGCGGCTCACCTGCTTCCCCATGATCTCCGCCTGGCGTTGGATACGCGTCTTGCAGTTCTCCCGCTGGATCATCTCCGCATCGTTGTACTCGGAGATGGCGTTGTGGAAGGCGGAGTTCAACGAGACGCACTGCGATCGCGCCATTCGAGAAACAGCGGACGTTGGACCGTGTTCTTCTTCCAGATCTTTGCTCAGCTTCCCTAGTTTCTGCAGACGAGTGTAAATCGCCTCTCCTCGGTTCTTGATGTCCCTCCCCAGGGCGTTAGAGTCCCGTTTGATGCTGCTGATGCGCCGCACGGAGGTGAGGAAGCGGCTGTTCTGCTTCCCAAGTCGCTTCACGTCCAGTTTCAGAAGATGCATCTCTTTCCTCAGCACCTGCGCCTCTTTGTAGATGCCGACCATCACGTCCTCGCCCTGGAAAACCACGGCCAGGTCTTCATCCTCGTCTTCCTCGCCTCCATGCAGTCGGGCCTCTTCTTCATCTGCAGGTTTGAAGGTCTGCAGATCAGTCAGGCGGTCCCTCATCGCTCCTGCAGCACCTTAAATATAGTTCAACCGGATTTAATTGTGTCTTAATGTACATTATTTAATTTCACATTCTGTTCTTGTACACATCATATTCTATTGACATGGATAGAGACTTCTTGCACTATTTTGTATTTCTGTATTTTATTGTATGTTGCGTTGTAGGAGGAGCTCAGGTCAGAAGAATTTCATTGCCATTTCTACGCTGTAGCTGATGACAATAAAACCTTTGAATTTTGAACCTTCACTGACCTCTGACCTCCAGACACAAACACAAGGGAGGAAATCACTCACTTTATAGATGGACTGTATTTGTCTTTTCAAACATTCAAAGCAAAATAGTGTAGAAATCACACTCTCACCATCGAGGGCAATATGGATCAAGTAGATAACCATTAGACGATTTAACAGATAGTATATAAATAGTTATCACCACAATAAACCGTATTTAATTGTGTCTTAATGTACATTATTTAACTTCATATTCTGTTCTTGTACACATCATATTCTATTGACATGGATAGAGACTTCTTGCACTATTTTGTATCTTTGTATTTTATTATACATGTTGCATTGTAGGAGGAGCTCAGGTCAGAAGGATTTCATTGCCTTTTCTACGCTGTAGCTGTTGAGCATGTGATGATAACACCTTTGAATTGAATTAGAATGTTGAACCTTCACTGACCTCTGACCTCTGACCTCCAGACACAAAGGGAAAGACTCACTTTATAGATTGACTGTATTTGCCTTTGGAAACACTCAAAGCAAAGGCCTAGGTGTAGGAATCACTCTGTCACCATTGAGGGCATTATGGATCCAGTCTCTACCTGTCCAGGTGATCTCCTGTCAGTTTAAAACGTCCTCAGTCTACCAGGAGTGGGGTTCGAACCCACGAGGACTGATGTCCATTGGATCTTAAGTCCAACGCCTTAACCACTCGGCCATCCTGGTACTTCTTTTTTAGATCTACGTGTTTAATTGAATGAGTACACATATGTATAAAAATCAACGTGTATAAAACTATGTGTAAAATCATGTACACATCTACGTGTATAAATTGTGTATAAATCTACGGACATAAATCGATGTGTACAAATCTACTTTTATACGTGTACAAATCATGTACAAATGTACGTGTGCAAAGATACGTGTACAAATAAATCCACGTGTATATATTTACGTACATAAAACTAAATGAATAATAATCTACTCGTGCAAATCTACGTGTACAAATGAACATGTACAAATGTACTTGTACAATTCTAATGTAGATAAATCCACATATATACATCTACGAGTATTATGAAGATGAAAAATTCTACGTGCATAAATCTATGTGTATGAATATGTGTCTATAAATACATCTATGTGTACAAATCGAGTATAAATCTACGTGTACAAAATCTACTTGTATGATTTTGAAGTAAACAAATCCACGTACACACATTACTGATAACTGACTCAGTTAAGTCCTCTGGTTTTGATGCATCGAACATAAATGTGCTTTAATAATAATCATAATGAAGCATCAGTATTTTAGAGAGTCTGTTTTTAGTCTTCAGTCCTCAGGAGGAAACTGGGTCTTTGGGGAAGTTACTTAAAAGGTGTTACAACCAGTTTCATCACACCGGGGGGGACGTTAGAGGGACGTTAGAGGGACGTTAGAGGGACGTTAGAGGGACGTTAGAGGGACGAATCCAGTTTAAAAAAGTTTAAACCAAAAATCCAATCAACAAGATGTGATTCAACACAAAAATGTTTATAAAGTTACAAGCTAGGAAAAAAAGCCTCTCATTTGTTGGACGTTTATTTCACATATAATGATATATATATGCTATAAAGGCGGTGGGGCTCGTCAATAACAGTAGATATTATAGTTAAAATACAACACGTTTAATTATATTAATGACCTATATTAACACTATCTGTATTACTGCAGCAGCTGTGAGTTGAATCATGATAACAGATCACACAACGTGGATTTAACGCTCATGAAGTGTTCCTATCAACACACACTTTTATTATATTGTTTTCTAAGATTTTACTAAATAAATAAAACAGATTAACTTTAAAGCATCCCACCTGAAGACCATCAGTGTGTGTGTGTGAGGATTACTAATGTATTTATATGAAATATATAATAAGACGTACCTCTGAGAGCTGCTGTGAGTGAAGCAGAGAGACGGAAACACTCATTTCCCCTTTCTCTCCGTTATATCAGCGCGCGCACACACACACACACACACACACACACACACACGCACACACACACACGCACACGCACACGCACACACACACACACACACACACACACACACACACACACACACACACACACCCACACACGCTCTGCAGGCTGCAGCAGGTACTAACTAACGCGGAAGGACACGCCTCAAACCCACACACACTTCTGCTGTGAGTCCGGAAGGAGAGGAGGGGCTTCTTTATTATTGTGAATTAAAACTGACTTATAAATATATGTATATCCTGAAATACTTTCAGACAATTTTACGGTCAGGATGAAACTAAGTAACGTTGATTTGACTTATAACATAATTTACTCTCACATTTAATCAAATTATTATTTATTATTTGTTTACCTTTTAAGACTTTCTAAAAACGTTATGACTTTATTTCTGACTTTTAAACAATATTTGAAGGCATATTTAAGTTACTTTTTTAATTAATTATTTGTTTCTTTTTATTAAGATTTTACACGTTGATTTTTAATGACATAATATACCCTGACATTTAATTAAAAAGATATATAAAACATTTTCTTTTAACCTTTTTGTGAATTTCTTGGACTTTTTTTAGGACATTTTTTTAGTTTTTCATGATTTTATAATGACATTTGAATTCACATTACTAATACACTAATGTTATTACATATAATGCTATGACTTATTACCACTTTATTTTGTGAGGTAATATAATAAGGACATCTTATACAAAACATTTTTATATAAATGTCATGGATATTCTTTTCCATGACATTTATATAATGTTGTTATATTATCATCATGCACATTACTAAGTGTATTGTGCATAATAGGTGACCTTTAAATCAGACTGTAATGACACTTCTTTATTTATTTGTAGAAATTATAATTACATTTAATATAAATATATACCAGGATGGCCAAGTGGTTAAGGCGTTGGACTTAAGATCCAATGGACATCAGTCCTCGTGGGTTCGAACCCCACTCCTGGTAGACTGAGGATGTTTTAAACTGACAGGAGATCACCTGGACAGGTAGAGACTACAGAGTGAGGTTACCTGTTGGATCCTCTGTGGGTCAGATACTGGATCCATATTGACCTCGATGGTGACAGAGTGATTCCTTTGCTTTGAAAAAACTAAAACAGTCCATCTGTAAAGTGAGTCATTTCCTCCCTTGTGTTTGTGTCTGGAGGTCAGAGGTCAGAGGTCAGTGAAGGAGCGATGAGGGACCGACTAAAACTAAAAAGTCATTAAAAAAGTCATTTGCAAAATACTTAAGTACGTCTTCAAATTAAAAGTCAGAAATAAAGTCACGCATAGTTTGCCCTGAAAGAGTTTTCAATGTGCATTAAAAAGTCATTTAAAAATCATTAAAACAATTAAAAATGTCTTCAAAAGGTTTTATATAAATTATACAAATGTCAGAATAAATGATGTCGTAAAAAGTCAGCATGTGTTAGTGGGCGAGGACTAAAATATGTGACTAAAAGTGTGTGTGTGTGTGTGTGTGTGTGTGTGTGTGTGTGTGTGTGTGTGTGTGTGTGTGTGTGTGTGTGTGTGTGTGTGTGTGTGAGTGAGTAGTCCTGAACTCACAGGAGAAACAGCCACGAGGCACAGAGACGTCCACTTTAAGGAGATTCACGATATATTAATGTATGTTTTTTAAACCTAATTTCAACACATCGTTCCACAGGAGTCTAAAGAGACCTCGAATCAGAGGATATATTATCATATTAAACCCTACAAATAAATAAAATAGGGCAAGAAAGTAGCTTCCCTGTGAGATGCAGGGATTAGACAGACACATATTTATAAAATAGTATAACAGGGTGTAAAATACAAATAAAAGTGCAATAGAATCACTGGGACGTCTGTTAGACTTAATGTCCACTTTCCATTTGTTCTCAGGGCATATTTAGTTACACAGATGCCTTCATGTCTAACATCACATGATAGTTTTATAAATGCATTTATGAGATGAAATCAGAGACCACAGCAGGAGGAAGACTCTCTGATATCTCTGATGTGCGTGAAGATAAATCCTCCGTCTGCAAACTACCTCTCAGTTTCATGATGTCTGGATGAGGAAGCTGGATGTGTGTGTGTGTGTGTGTGTGGTGTGTGTGTGTGTGTGTGTGTGTGTGTGTGTGTGTGTGTGTGTGTGTGTGTGTGTGTGTGTGTGTGTGTGTGTGTGTGTGTGTGTGGGAAGAGTTTCCACAGACAGCGTGTTAGTAATTTCCTCCATGACTGTGAGTCACTGAGGGTTTTTATATCTCTGTTGATGACTCAGATAAACATTTTAATCCGATCCTGAAACTCAGCACGAAACAAGCTTTAAAAAAACACTAAACAGTTGTTCTGCTTCATTTTGCAACAAACTTCACGATGAACACTTTGTGAGTCAGACTTTGCAAAGACTGATTTAAGACGAACTACATTTTCCTTATGACATCATATATTCTGACATTTAATACAATTATTATTTATATTTTTTACAACTTTTAGGACTTTTTTACGACGTAATATAATATTTGAAATGTTAAATACAACTTTTTGGAGACATAATTAATTAATTAATGCACATTACTAACTATTTTAGGACAAACGATGTCTGGCTTTATTTCTGACCTTTAAACAATATTTGAAGGCATGCTTAAAGGTAGGGTATGTCATTTTGGAGAAACCGGCTCGAGATCGCTAGAATTTGAAAATACATAGCCGGAAGAAATCTCCCACTTCCTCACAGAGCCCCTCCTCCAACACACACGAACGCGCACATGACCAATGAGGGCACGAGATAAGTATGTGCACAGATGGAAGGCTGACAGGCAGGTAGGCCATCCAGTTATTTTAGCCGGGCCGGCTCAGATGATTGGTCGTGCTTTTTACAGTACTACGGCTTCCACAGATGATATTTTTTTATGGATTTTTGTCAAAGCACTTCAGATATTGATTGCTATCGGGATGTTAAGAGCATTCCATGGAATATAACAAAAAGTGTACAAAGTGGAGCAGCTCAGTGAGTTAGGAGGGGGCCTGGTGGTGGAGCAGGTCATTTGGGTTAGGGGGGGCCTGGTGGTGGAGGGGGCCTGGTGGTGGAGCAGGTTTTGTGGGTTAAGGGGAGGGTCTTGAAATGTATTTGTTGACGGACGGGGAGCTCGGGCGGGATGATTCTTTACGACATTTTGTAAGTCTTGAACACAAAGACCCTGACTATGTTTTAAAGACGTACTCAATGTAGCATTTTTGTCACTTTTTAATGACTTGTTTGTTTTTAAGAAAACCAATACTATGACATCGTCCATCTTCTAGCTCTCATCCAACCCGGAACCATGGCCCAAAACGTCCCCTTTCCTCCCCACACCCACCAGTTCTGACAGGAGGCATCCTTTGACTTACTATAATATATATCATTTCCAATGAATTTTTTTTTTAGTTTATTTGAATTATTTAGGATTTTTTATGCACATTTCTAACTTTTTATTATTGTTTTATATATTTTTTAGCCACTATACTTTGACATTCTCAAAGCTTATTTAGTTAAATCCAACGATGCTCTTATTTTGAAAGTCTGTAGTTTGTAGTGTGTCTGTCGTCCAGCAGATGTCAGACTTTCTGTTCCCTGCCGTTCCTTCTCTGCAGCAGAACACTTCATTCGGAGCTCTGTGGGTGCTTTGGAGAAAGGACTCAAAACTGCTTAGCTTCGTTTTCAGGTTCAATGTAAGTCCAATAGGACGGAGTTACGTAGGATGAGAAAGAATATAGACTTGTTCTGATCCAGGAAACAAAACCTCCCTGAGTTTCTTTTGACTCCTATAAATAAGTTGTAGTTAACGTTGGCAGGTTTTATTTCTCAGAATCGTTGATTATGTTCCGTTAAAGTCGGTCACTTTGATTCAGTAGATTTACAGCGAGCAGCAGAGACCGTCAGGAGAGGTTCCGTTTAAATCCGGTTATCTCAGTCAGCTGCTCTGATTCGAGAGGCGTGCTTTTTATTTTTCATTAAACTGTTCTGCATGAGCTTCACATGCAGGGAGGACTGAGGGGACAACCAGGGGCCAGAACAACCAGGGGCCAAAACAACCAGGGGCCAAAACAACAAGGGCCAAAACAACCAGGGGCCAAAACAACAAGGGCCAAAACAACCAGGGGCCAAAACCACAGGGGCCAAAACAACCAGGAGCCAACACTACAGGGGCCAAAACAACCAGGGGCCAAAACAACCAGGGGCCAAAACAACCAGGGGCCAACACTACAGGGGCCAAAACAACCAGGGGCCAAAACAACCAGGGGCCAAAACAACAGGGGCCAAAACAACAAGGGCCAAAACAACCAGGGGCCAAAACCACAGGGGCCAAAACAACCAGGGGCCAACACTACAGGGGCCAAAACAACCAGGGGCCAAAACAACCAGGGGCCAAAACAACCAGGGGCCAAAACAACAGGGGCCAAAACAACAAGGGCCAAAACAACCAGGGGCCAAAACAACAGGGGCCAAAACAACAAGGGCCAAAACAACCAGGGCCAAAACAACCAGGGGCCAAAACAACAAGGGCCAAAACAACCAGGGGCCAAAACCACAGGGGCCAAAACAACCAGGGGCCAAACACTACAGGGGCCAAAACAACCAGGGGCCAAAACAACCAGGGGCCAAAACAACCAGGGGCCAAAACAACAGGGGCCAAAACAACAAGGGCCAAAACAACCAGGGGCCAAAACAACAGGGGCCAAAACAACAAGGGCCAAAACAACCAGGGGCCAAAACTACAGGGGCCAAAACAACCAGGGGCCAACACTACAGGGGCCAAAACAACCAGGGGCCAACACAACCAGGGGCCAAAACAACCAGGGGCCAACACAACCAGGGGCCAACACAACCAGGGGCCAACACTACAGGGGCCAAAACAACCAGAGGCCAACACAACCAGGGGCCAACACAACCAGGGGCCAAAACAACCAGGGGCCAACACTACCAGGGGCCCCAGACCTCCAGGTACATCTCGTTCTGTCCGGTTCAGAATGAAGGTT